GAGGGGTCGACGCCTCTAAGGAGTTGTTCACGGTATTTGGTGATAGTATCAAAACTGTCCAAAGTTTCTTGTTTGGTGACGAATAAGGGGGCGGCAGTTTCAGGTGGATCATCATCTGCTTCAGTGTTAGGGCGCCTAGAGAGAGCATCGGCGGCGAGTTGTTGAGAGCCAGGCCGATAAATGATTAGGACATTGAAGAATTCTATCTCGTCCACGAATCTTGCGAGTCTTCGATTGACGTGGCATTGAGTCTTGAAATGCTTGAGGGACTCGTGATCAGTCCGTACAAGGATAGGGGATCCTTCGATGAATCCTCGGAATTTCTTCAAGGCATGTACAATAGCCAGGAGTTCGCGTTCCTGCGCTGAGTAGTTCTGCTCTGTCTTTGAGAGCTTTCGAGATCCATAGGCAATGGGCCTAAGAGTTGAGTTCTTGACTTTCTTGTTGTATTCGACAAGTGAGAAGGAGGAGTTGATAAGTTCTGAATTTGGATCTTGCTTCAAGACGGCGCCAATGTTGAAACCAGAGGCGTCAGTATCAATAACGAAAGGTCTAAATGGAATTGGATGGGATAGGAGGGCGGTGTTGGCAAGATGATGCTTGAGGGATTTGAAGGCAGCATCATGCTCCTTCCCCCACAAAATTGCAGCCCGCTTCTTTGGGGAGCCTTCCGTCAAGGCATGCAGTGGGGTTGCAATTTTTGAAAAATCTTTGATAAAACGCTTGTAGTAAGTTGATAAATTAAGGAATCCGCGAACTTCAGTAATGTTCGTAGGAGTAGGCCATTCTTGTATCTTCTTGATTTTTTCATCGTCAACTTGAATACCTTGACCATTGACTTTGTGTCCTAAAAAAATTAAATCAGTATGTGCCCATTTGCACTTCTTTGGTGATAAGACAAGGTTCGCACCATCTAAAAGTTGTAAAACTTTTGTTACATCCTTGATGTGTTGTTCGAAAAATGATGAGTAGATCACTACATCGTCTAGATAAACCAAAGCGCATTTATCCAAAACAGGTCTCAGTATATCATTCATCATAGATTGGAAGGTTGCTGGCGCATTGCACAGCCCAAACGGCATGACCAAGAATTCGTATGAACCTTTCTTGGTCCCAAAGGCTGTTTTTTCAATTGAAGATGGGTCCATTGAAACTTGCCAAAACCCACTTTTTAAATCTATGCATGTGAACCAAATTGTGCCTTTGAGGAATTGATACGCTTCATCAATTCTAGGGAGTGGATACGAGTTCTTTCTTGTCAACACGTTGAGAGATCTGAAATCTACACAAACACGAGTCTCTCCATTAGCTTTCTTCACAAGAATAATTGGAGCAGACCAGGGAGAGTTAGAAGGACGAATAATACCTTCTTCGAGTCCTTCTTTCACAAACTTATCAATTAAAAGGTGTTCTGGTGGCGTATAAGGTCTGCCATGAACTTTTACTGGCTTGGCGTCACCAGTGTCGATTACGTGTGACCACTTTCGTTTGGTGTTGGTTGATATTGATTCTTTGAAGCAGTTTGGAACAAACTTTTGTGCTATTGCTTCCATTCTAATTGATTCTGAGGATCTTCCTTCTGCCTCCAGTATGAATAATGTCTGTTGTCTCCCTTCAGGATGGTTTTGAGGTAAGATCTTGATGTCTTTATGATGATATCTGAAATTCCATCCAAGAGTTTTGTAATCGGGAACAACTTCGTTTTTTCTTAACCATGGTAGACCGAGAACAAGGTCGAATCCAGGTAGATCGGTGATGAGAGCTTCGCAGTGTTGGAGGTAGTCTTGACCCCATTGGAGGCTAAACTTAGCCTTGTGTCGGATGATCGTAGTTTGACCATTAGCTACTTTGACTTGTCGAGGTGGGCAGATTTCGACTTTCATTCTTCCTTGAAGACATGCAGTCCTGGCGAATTTTCTGCTAATATAGATGGTACCGGCGCCAGTGTCAATAATCGTGGTGGCGCGAAGACCACCAGCTAAGAATTCAAACCTTGGTAGTTGCGTTTCTCCTTCGGAGAGGTTCAATTTGAGATAGTTGAATGGTAAGGTTGAATTCGATGGAAGATAAGGATACGGGGTATCACAACGAGGGAATTTCTTTTGAGGACTTGATTCTTGTGGAGGTAAACTATCAGGTTTGTATTTTCTTTTACCGTTGCTGACTGATTTCCTCCATTCTTCAATGCTGATTTCCTTGATGTCTTCTGGTGCATCAACTAAGGTTACTTGGCTGGAATTAGGAGCTTCTTCTATAAAATCTTCAACTTCTTTTACGAACAATGGTTGAGGCTCTTCTCCTTCCTTAGTGAGATCTATAATAATACGCTCTGAGTTGGCTTCTTCGTCGCCGTACCCGGCAAAGATTTCTAGCAGTTCATCCACATTGAGCTGGTAATTCTCTTGAATATAAGTTTGTTCTTTTCCGTTCCATAGAGAAGGAGGGAGAACCAAAGAACTGCGGGAAGCATCTTTTTTGGGTGTTCTGGAGGTGATTTGACTATCAATACTTTCATTTTGATTTGAGTAAGCAGCTATATCCGTCTCGTAGTGAGAGGAGACAGGGTTCGAGTAGACGTCTTCGATCTCGTGCAGGAAGTGTTCGAGATCGCTGTCTCTGTCAGACATAGTTTCACACCAGAGTTTCTTGACGGCGTTCATCTCGTCTTGGTCCAGGAACCCTCGAGCGTAGTTCACGTCTTTCCGGACGTAGTGGTCCTTGAGTCCGGGAGTGAATTCAATTGCTTCAGGATGAAGGTGAGTGACGTCTTCTTCTATTTCAAGATTATCTTTGAGTCTTTCTATTGGGGTTCTTTTGTCAGGTGTATTGAAGACTAATTCTAAAAGTCGGTCGGGTATGTTGTCTTCCTCGAGATAATGTAAGTCTAGTATCATTTGTTCCTCTTGATAATGTAGATCAACTTCTATGGTTCCTTCTTCGGAATCTTCAATTCTATCGGAGTCTTCCATTAAGTTAAATGAGAATTTATTCTGGGTGCGATGGTTAGAATTAGGTTGATTAGTTGTCTTCCTTGGAGCGCGACATTCTTTAGAGAAATTTCCGGTCTTATTACAATTATAACATCTTGATTTACTCACCCCGGCAACGTCTAGATCCATGGGAGTCGCTGAGGAATTTCGAAAATTGTTGTGAGAATGATTAGGTTGACGGTTACGGAAATTCGAGTTGGTTCGCCAACGGGAATCAGATGGGAATGGGGAAGAATGAGACTTGTTAGAGAACACAGAACGTGATAGCCTCTCATTTTCACGGAGAGATTTAGCTAAGGCGTCCAAGGTCTCACCTTTCTCAGAAAGTACTCGCCTCTGGAGATCATGAGGTAAGTTCCTTATAAATAGGTACTGAGTTTCCCAGTCCGTAAGTTTTTCTTTAGGAATCTTGAAACTGAGCCATTTAAACTTTTCAATGTATTCCTCTGCGGTTCGAAATTTGAGATTATCAATGGCTTGGCGGGCTTCCAGTTGTTTAAAAGAGTAGTTATAATGTTCTAACAGCTTACTTTTAAACAATTCCCAACTCATGCCTTCATAGCCGTATTCCTTGGCTAAGTTATACCACCTGGTTTCGGCCTCTTCTTTCATGCAGCCAACAATGGTGTTGGTCCAACGTTCTAGAGGATATTTTCGCGAGGTAAGCATGGCTTCCACTTTAGTTAGCCATATTTCAGGATCGTTCTTACCATTGAAGGTTGGTAAATCTACACGGATGGTTTCGACACGTTCCGTGTGAGTCTGGGAAGGTTGTTGATTTTGCTGATTAGACGCGTTGAGGGATAACTGGTTGACTTCTTCTTGAAGTTGAGCAATTAAAGTGGCGGTTGCGGGGTCCATCACTGATATATTCGACTGATCTCTAGTGTGTTGAATTTATGGGGAGACTCTTTGCAAAAAGATTTTCGGCAAGTTCTTCCGGACTATACTTATCCCAACACGGTTTGCAAAGCTGTGTCAGTATAGTGAACTTGATTGTAAATATATATAAAATAGAGAGATAGTCTTCGAAAACGGCTTACACTAAATTCAGAGTGTAAGAGATATAGTGATATAGTCCTTGGAGAATGACTCCAACGGAAACGAAAAAAATTGACAATAAACGATCTTTGGAAAGAACGGTTCCAACAGATCCTTCGGAAAGATAGGGTTCTGATTCTAAGCTTCTATAAGCTTTCAACGGTTCCTGCTGATCAGGCAAGGAAAGATAACGATAAAAGATAAACGGATGCTACGAAAAAAATCGCAGAAATATTTCTGTGAATCTACTAGGTTTCAGAAGTACCAAGAGTCTAATTCGGGTAAAGGCTTATAATGTGAGAATAGGGGATTCGAGGATTATAAGGAAAGGTTTAGGCAAAAGGTACTGTGCGGTGAATCAGCAGAGAGCAAGCTGGGGATTGAATTGCAACGAAGAAAGGTCCGCCTTTTATGGGCGAGACTTTCGTAGTGAAATCACATTCTAGGCTACAAGATGAGAACGCACAAGATAGGGCCGAAAGCGGCAAACAAATAAGGAAACAAGATTGGAAAAGGATATTGAGAAGATATCCATACACTACGCTATATGACTAATATACCATGGAGTTTACAAAAGTCTTTGCATTTAGAAAACTCAAATCATTTTCTGAACTGATCTAGGGATTAGAAAGAAAAAATGAGATTTCAAAGTACTATCTTTTTATGGAACATAAGTCATATCTTGAATCACAGTATCATCTTGTAAGCTTATCTGTGTCTCGAAACAATGCTTGACTTTTTTTTCACATACATCATAAACTTCTACATCATAATCCCACAGAAGCACAACTAATTCAACTCATTTGAGGTCGTGCGGGTTTGTACATATATATTTATCTTTCAATTTCAATCTTCATGACATTTCCAGAATGACTTGTTAACATTAAATATGCACGCACAAATTGTGGAAAGGACCAGAATTACAAATTGAATTCCAACAACATATATGAATGAGTGATAAAAAAAGGACAGTGTGTCAAACACGTTGACATCCAGTGTCATCAAGGCAAGAAAAACAATACTCTGAGGGAAAAGAACTAATGTTTTTTCAAGAAACTTATAATCCTTCCAAAAAAAGGACAACCTCGTCCAAGACCGGGACTTGATCAATATCTAGCTGACCATAAAATAAGGGGTCTTCGGATTTCACGTGTTGAAGCCACTCGGAGGAGTAACAGTCTATGGGTAACCCGTAAGGTGCTGGGAGTGAGCTTAGAGGCGCATTTGTTTGACGGATTCTTGGTCGAGAGGGGCGACCAGTCTTCTTTCCCGCTGAATTGGGTATGCTAGCCTTTCTTTGCTCCGTGTACTCATCTAGTAGAATGCAAACGTGACTTAACTTTTCACTACGCCATTCCAGATTTCGCACCAAGCAAGGTAGACCATGTCGATTTGGCCCTTCACTGGTTCCTTCACGGTCGGTCTCATCATCGCTGCAAGCATTTTCCATTATTACTGAAAGCTTGAACAGCTGAGCGGGTTTTGAGAAGACTACTTTGTCTCTCATTTTCTTCAACTTCATTTCAAACAATACAAGAAACTAGATCAGTGATTTGTACAAAGCAATACATACGATAGGTGAGAGATAAGACTGACTTTTTGAAGTCTACCAGCTTGTCGGACTCGGCTTTGTGACTTTTCTAGACGCTCTGGTTCCCATGATTGCAATCGATATCTATAATTGATTAAAATCGAGTGTTGAGGATAATGAATCAGTTTCGGATTTGCAGTTCAAAGCAAGACATTGATGAAACATTGATTCAAAAGCTTCACATACCGCTTTGATAATGATCGAGCATAGGTATCCAAACATTTGGTTATGAGAGTGTCATTCGCTCCACCAGTAGCTACTCCATTGTACTCCCCGCACTCAACTAACTTGTAGAATATTTTTGAAGCAACATTCCAGATCCACTTGTTTCCGTTTGATGCGGCTGACTTTGAGAAATCCGGACGAAAGCTTGATAGACCTGCAGCTTCCAGCATGCTCTTCATGATTTGAAGCTGTTGAGGTGTTGCATCCTTATGACCAGGTCCGTTCTCATAAGGGAAGCAAGGATCAGTTTCGTCGCGAGTTCCTGATGTGGAAGGGTCTTCTGGTACATTCGTTGTATCGTCTGTCGGATTGGGGAGCTTTGAGCCTTCTTTGATACCTAGCAGTGTGTCAACATGAAATCTGATGCGATCCTACAAAATCAAAAATGTGAACAATCAGACATTGATTATGTGATTTGACATTTGTGATGTATGAATAGAAAACCTACGGCAGTACGTCCTCCGCGTCTTTTGCTGGGGCTCGGAGTAGAAGCACCATCGCCAAGCAGTCCACTCAACTTGTGTACAACTTTAGTCAATGCTTTCAATTCACTTTCGAGGTATTCAACCTTTTGGTTAGTCCGCATCAAAAGTAAGTGAAGATTCTCGATATCTGGTGTTCTGCTCTCAGGCATAGCAGAGCTGATTTTGATATACGGAATCAAAGTGATAAAATTGGAATGGTAAAGTAAGTATTGAAGTATTTCCAACCTTGTTATACGAGAAAGAGACTTACCTTTCTTGTGGAACCTCTGATTCAGGGTTCTTAGCAGGAGGAGGGCCGCTTTTTTTAGCTTTGTCACAAGGCGAGGGCTGGCGGGAATGTGCCTGACTGAGATCAAGATCGGTATCGGATTGGTCTGTGTCGTCATCGTCTGGATTCCAGTCGGAAATTGAGGGTGTGGGATCTCTCGCTTTCGATTTTCCTTTATCCTTCTTTGATTTTGGTTCTGGTGAAGTAGAAGAGAGTATCGTAGGGTGTGGTTGAGGGTATAAAAGTCGGTTGTGCTCCCTGCTCGGAAGGATTGGGACTGAAGAGCCAGCTTCAGGTGTGATAGCGGCTGAGGTCTGTGTAGTCGGTGTATTTGAATCGGCTGAAGATAATTGGATAGAAGGAGATCAGTATTGGATGACATAATATGAAACAGAATGTAGGTTGAAACTTACTCCCTTGCATAGGATGAAGATTGTGTGTTGCAGGTGTGAAGTCGAATGAGTGATGGTCCAGCTTGGAGTATACTGTAGGTTGACCGAACTGTTTTTGTGACACCAAAGGCAGCGTAACTGGAGGAAGAAAACTGTTTCAGTATAAAGAGCACTTCAAAGCCGTATCTAAATGATCCTTACTCAATTCGTGATAGCTGTTAGAGCATCCACTATGGGTGCGTTAACGACGCAATTTAGCGTTACCGTAACGCTAAAATCCAGACAGGTCCACTATGGACCTGTTTTAGACATGCGGTCCGTACGACCGCGTCAAGTCTTGCAGTCCGCTTGTTCAAATCTACGAAAGCCTACGACTTGATTTATTGTAAACTTTTGGCACATCCAAACGGTCAACAGCCATCCAATGATCTATCTCCCATCCAGCTCTGCACTCACCACCTTCACTCAAAACCTTCCCTCTTCCCTCGAACCCTCAGCTTGTTGATAGTAGCTGTTTACTCTGGATTTGCTAAAAAAAGCATCTTTGTTCAAAAGAAGTCATCTCGCGCGATTGATGTCACCAAGATCAAACAAGAGGTGAGAAAGCTCTTTGCTGATTGTCAAAACCTGAAGGCATCAATTTGGTTCTTTCTGGTCACCAAGGTAGTCATCAGCATAGGCTGGGTGAGGTGTGGTAAGATACTTTAATTCGAGTCTCGACTTTGCCATAGCGTGTATAGTGTTCTAAGAACAGATTATCATAGTTAAATCCTACGTTACATCATCCCATAGTGGATTTCATGCGGTTAACAACTTAGCTACAACACGCATGATTAAATTTTGCAATCAGGACCGCAAAATTTACGATAAAACACCCTCAACATAGTGGATGCTCTTACAATTTTTTAAGAGCTGAATCCTGCTAAAACCATTAGTGTCTAATCCAACATCTTTGAGCATATCAATCAATTGTGAGTCGTTGAATTGTTCGAAGTTGATCTGATTGTTCGGAGGGTTGACAGTAGTTCGCACTAGATCATCGGAAGGTAAGTGTGTGGTGTTTTTGACCGCTGACTTCTTCCTAGATCGGACCAACTGGCTCAAAAGGCGTGGTTTCTTCTTGGTGACATGCTTGCCGAGAAGATCAAGAACCTTTTCACAGGTTGTTGTGGGACCGACTGATATTCCGAGTCTCTCAAGGACATCTTTCTCAGAGACTGGAATCGGCATAATGATCAGCAAGTCTCATCAATCTAATACTCATGAATACTTTGAACGGTAGACTTAAACATACCCAGCTCTGTTTCTGAATCAGTGATTGTTTTGCGCTTGGCCGCTTTGGTACTGGATTTATTTTCAGCTTGATGGGCAACGGTCTTTGTGGTATTGCGTCGTCGAGTCCGGAGGACCCGGCTGCCTGCAGCAGCTTCCTGGGATGACATGGGCGGCTTTTGGTGATTAAACAAAGAATAAAAAATAAAAGTAGAGAAAGAGTGAGAGTGAGAGTAAGAGTCGTACAAAAAAAGTTGAAAGTAAATGCAAAAAAGTGGGTATTGGTAGTCTTGATGTGAGAACACACTTCCTTTTTAAGGGTTTGATTGTCGCATTCTGAACTATCGTGTGAGATGTTGCACTTCTGATATCATGAATCATTGCAATCATGATATCCCTCAACCTTTGTTTGTGTCGCCACAGTGATTTCCGAACGGGAAAATCAAAGCGTGACTGATCCAGATTTGAAAGACGTGCTCTATTGTGCACCTTTCATAACTTCTGTTATGACTGTCATCAGAAACTAAGCAACTTGGTCTTGATGAGATATACCAGTGATGGTGGGTTGTTTAGTCACATAACAACAGGCAATTGTTGTTAGGTAATTAGATGATGACTATGTTGCACACGACTCATGGACTTATGAGCAATGGCATTCCTTTATGTCGTATTTGATGCCAAACAGGGTATAGTCCCCAATGCTTGCTCAAGTTGTGATCAAGGAACGCGACCACATCCTGAGGTTGAATTAAGAGTATGGTACACTGGAATTCGATCATAAGGTTCTCCAATCGAATTCAATTGGTTCATCGAACCAATGATATCATTATCTTATGTATCCCTTTTGTAATTCTATTGTTGACAAATAAAGATAATAAACCTTCCCGATCAAATAAGAATCATAGCGGTGATAAGAAGAAATGAGGGGATTACACAAATTGTGAAGAAAAAACTGATATGAAGTACTCTCAATTGTTTGTCAAGAATTGGGGATGCAATCTGAAGTTCATGCAATTCAAAAAAATCTCAAGTATAACAAGATGGCTTTAGAGAAAAGATATAACTTTGGAGATACCTTTAGAGAATATAAGAAACAGATTGTAATAGCACAACCATACAATAATACACTATTAAATTTGTAAATCTGAGATCGAAGTGTCATTGGTAGGTGAAGCATCATCTTGCTCCGCCAAATCAGATTCAGAATGAACATCATAATAATGTTCAAGGGACTTTCCAGGTCCTAATAACTCACTCAGCGCTCGCGCTTGTCCCCTTATTAAGGTGTCAGCGATGTCCAACTCGTGCTGTAGGTCAATTGCATCTACTTGAAGATCATCAACTTTTGTTTCAGGAATCACAATCTTCTGCATTGCTTCATCTAGCTTGGAAGAATTTTGAGCAGCGGCGTCGGCTAGAATAAACAGGAGTCAGCTTGAAGAGTTGGGATCCGCTACAGAAGTGAAAAACACATACCATTCGCTTGTTGTTGTTGGAGATCTTGGAAAAGATTCATACTGGCCTTTTTCTCCATCTCTTCAAGTGAACTTTCAAGATGGGCTAATTGTTGTTCAAAATTTCGCACTGGATGGATGATTTGATGAGAAATACAGTTGCATAGTATTGAACAACGTGATTGTGAGCTTACCTTTCTCTGCTCGTTGTTGCTCCTCTTGGAAGATATCAACTCCGCTTTTCTTGTTCAAGGGAGAAAGATTTTGGTTCATGTTGATAGCTGGAATATCGCGGCCGATCACTGGACATGTTTTGTGAGATTTCAGCTCAGCACCTTGCAACAAAGGTAGAAAAACGAGAGAAGGAGACAATTACCTAGATTCCCCACTTCAAAAACTTCAGTATCAGAAAAGTTAATAAGATCCATATCGTCTGAGACATGAGCTGGGTTTGATGCCTTGACGTCGGTGACTTGTTCTTGTAAATTCAATGTATTCCAGCCTTGGTGTCCTTGTGAGTGATTCGGATCAATGTTGAAAAATATGTTAACCGGGCTGTTTTCTCTTTTGATAGGAGAAACTTTCGCCACGCTCCTATTTGTTGAAGTCGGAATACGTGAAGCGCCACTTTGATCATTTATATGAGGCAAAAAGAGGGATTGTTTGAGCCCCTCAAGTTCCTTTTTTTCATCCTCATTGCTGAGACTTAAGATTGATGAAATTCGAGGTGACGAAATGGACGCGCCCTCCATTCGATTGGAAACAACCTTTTTTGACCGTTGACGAACGGTACTAGTGCTGTTTGCCGCCTTGGTGCGGCTTGAGGGCTGCTACAGAATATCAGAATCAATGAGAGTTGGAAGGTAATTTGATCAAAGGTTTGATGCTCACTTTCTTCTTTTTCGAAATCTTGGATGTGGATGTGCCACAAACCTCAGGCTCCGGCTTTGCTTCCATTCCTAATTCAATCAACAAGTGTAATCAGAATGTATATACACTATTTTGACGTAAAAGAGGGAAGTGACCCACCAATTCCTATGCGCTTATGTGGATAAGAAAACTCCAAATCTTGAGATGCAGAGCGCTTGATCACTAACGGCTCTTTTTTCTCCAAAGGCCTTGAGGTTATAGGAGAAGTAACTCGAAGATCTTCAAGAGTAGGATAGATGTTGATCATTCCGGAAGCAACCGCTGGGGCATCTGAGGTCGGATCGGGGAAAACTGTCAAGAACCCGCATGAGCGTCCTCAGTATGTATAAATCATAAAATCACAACCATATGAGGAGATGAAAAAGGAGATAAAGATTTGAACTGACATTCAGGTTGTTTCTCTCGAACAATGACTGCTACCTCGCCTGTTCTGATATTTGATCTTATGGGAGTCATTGGATGATGAATGCGCAACCAGTCAAGCATAGTTTGTTTACCAACAGATGGGTTACTGGGGTCGAGAAAAGTTTCTAAAGTACCTCTAGCACTAGGTTCGGACATATTTATGAGAAAGTTGATTTAAGATTCAAAGAAAAGAGATTTCCTGTTGGAAAATAAAGTATTTGAGGAGAAGAGATGTTTCGAAAATAAATGTTGAGGATGTACTCTAAAGTAAGATGGAGAAAGAACAAGCCTGCTAGAGAGCTAACTTGATGTGACGGGATGAGTCCATCAAGATACGTTGATACTTATTTTCTTTCAAAGGAGAACTTCTTCGTGTATTCGGAGTTAAGTCGTGACCCCAATACTACAGTTGCACCATGAGTTGTTTGCGGCATCCTTCATGACTCAGAAGCCACAGACAAAGAACCTTTCATGTTTTTAATTTATGATCGACTTAGAAATTTCCATGAGGTAGTCCCGCATTTCTCCTTTCGGCAATTACCTGAGGTACATGACAACCAAACAATGGTTCAGGGTCACAGATCAGTATCTAGATGTTGCCGTTCAATGTGTTACCTGGACCCAATTTTCGATGGTTCAAACAATGGCAAACAATTGATGGTAATCTCTTACACACGTATATATGCTTGCCATCCATCCATGTATAACCACAGAAGGGGGAGACATGATTTATAGAAAGGCCTACGTTCTTCCTCAACACTGATTTTCCCTTTTCCATCGACTTGTTCTTTGGTTGTTGGCTTCTTTAACTGTCCTTTACAATTGTTCGTATCAGTAGCTCATATCGCCTGTATCATCAAATTCATTGTTGATTGATGTTTGTTTGCTTGTTTCTTTCAGAATCATTTGTATCAGTAGCTCACATCGCCTTTACCATCAAAGTCGTTAGTCATTATTATCTCCTTTCACCTTGTCTGGTGATTGATACAATTGAAAGTGTGTTATGCCGTCTTCCTTTTTCTACTTACATACATGCTGATCAGTTGTTTGGAAATCTTCATGATCTTCGCTTTTATGGATAGAACTTCAGACTCGCCGTCATGCCACCAAGAACACGTAACCCCTCTTTGGCAAATGGATCACCTCTCAGTCCGCCTGGAGAAGGTCCAAAGCCTGGTCAAACATCTCCTCTCGCATCGGCCCAACGTTTCCAACGTCCACCTCCAGAAGACCCAGTGGCTGCCAAGGTTCAATCTCTTTCGGCAGAGGCGCGGATCTTCCTTACCTATGACTTTGAATCTGTTAGCCGCAAGCCTTTGAAATTACACTACTATAACATCATATACCTTTTCAATCCTGCTACCAAAAGCTGACCTGGTGACAAGAAAGATGTACTCAAGAAGGCCTTTCTCGACGAAGTGCGCCCCCTCCTCAAACCATATCTCTTACCTCCTCCTTCTATGCCTATGGAGACGGATTCAACAGACCTCGATTTTGACCCACTGAGACGCAAAACTACTCGCCCGATGCTCGTGAAAGCAATTGCAAGCAAGTCGCCCAAAACCGATGTATCGCCCGGTGCCACTATCGATGATGTTCTAATTCTATACAAGCGTTACGTCGACCCTCAACTTAAACTTCCTGCAAATGATTGCTTCACAAAAAGACCTCGCACTGTCCCTATCAACAGACTCAAGAGCGAAAGTATGGAGGACCTTCTTCTTGCTTTGCGATACCTTGCGCCGCGAGTGTTTGTACGTTCCTTGGCCATGAACAAGAGCTGCCTTATGGACCTCTATATCAAGTTTGTCCACAACAAGACTCCCGATAGTCCCCTTATCCTTGGGTACCATTACACCCTTTTGGATTTATCACCATCGGATCTTGTAGGAGAGTCTATGGAAGAAGACTCTGTCGGAGAAGCAAAGTGTAAGATTCAGATTTCTTCATACGTCTTCTGGTAAATTTGCATTTAGTATTCTACAGAAGAACTGATGGGATTCATTATGAACTTCTCAATTATTCACCGAATCATTTGTATTTGTAGAAAACAAAGAATGTCACCGTAGAAAACGAAGTGAAGAATGTCATATGATTTACAGTCATCAAACAAGCACCGATTTCATCAGAAGTTCTTTAGTTTTCATACACTCATGACGATCCCAGAATTAAAGATGTCTTGTATTTTTAATCAACCTTTTTTTGTGCTCACTCACACTGCTCTTCCACCCTTCCCAAAATCGGACTAGACCCTTCACTTCAACGTACTCCTATTTAAGATATTCACCCATCATATCTATTTTTGAATGTCTGATGATTGATTATATACATTAAAACCCCCCAAAAAAAATTTCTTTGATTTCTTTCTTTATAAAGGTCTCATATACGTTAAAACCCCCAAAAAATCGTGTCTCCGTTGTATCATCATCCGTGAAATCGATCTTTTCTTGATTGCTGTTCACCAATGCCTCCGCGACAACATCAAACCAAACAAGCCCATTGAGTTGTGTGTACATGTGTTGCTTACGAATGTTCTCAGCAAGAATATCTTGATGCCAACGGAACCTGCCATCCTGGGGTTGAGGTTTTGCCTGAGACACGTGCTGCTCACCAACGCGCCGATTTTCGAAACAGATTACCAAAATCCCCGCGTACACCAGGTCACTCAAACGAATCATTGATCAATTTGGCTCTGGACAACCTGCTTTCACCCTTGAGACAATTGCGTATCACCTCATCACCTTCTACTCCGCGCAATGATCAACATCTAGACGATGAACTTACTCACGGAAGATCATCAATACATCATTCAAGTCGCCCAGATGACGAAATTTCAAATCAAGTGGCCGAGATAGAGTCACCAAACCTCCCTGCAACCGATTCTCTTCCCAAATCACAGTCCAAGTCCACCAAAAAATGCTCTGAGGCAGCCTTGGCAAAATCTTCAGGTCAATCGGTGTTTGATTGTGGTCAGTATCTTTTCAGTATATCCTGTTAGTCGACTTTCTCATGATTGACTGTACTGATTTGTTACATGTTCGCTGTTTACTCTTTCTAGATCGTTTTCATGGATCCGACTTGAAATCAGCAAATCCACTCATTCTTCATACGGCTCTCACTGCTTCCATTCTTGACATATTTGGACAATCCTCAAATTCAATCACCAAATGGATCCTTGATATCCAGACCATCACGATCAAGCTGTCTACAACACATGGAATCTTACCTACAAAGTCACCGATCCGTCAGATTCTTCCTGAAGAAGCTGCCACTCTTAAGAAAATTCCTAGCTCAGCTACAACAACCTTCCGATGGTTAAAACTTGATCCAGTCCTAAAATATCTGAACTGCTGCTCCTCGTGCTTTGCGATGTATCCCGAGAACAGCGCACCATCTCGATGTCATCATCGTATTGCAAATATCCCGGGTGGACCTTCTGATTCCGTCGATCCAAACAAAAATACCTGTTCTCCTCCATCAGAAGACAATGAGCCAGAATTCTCAGATTCAATATGTGGAGAGCCTCTATTCAAATATGTACGTGGTGTACAGAAGCCTGCTCGCCGTTATGCATTTCAGAGCCTCTCGGATTGGATTTCACGTCTCCTCTCTCGACCTGAAATTGAAAAAGCGCTAGAGGTTTCAGCATCAGAATCCTCAAAACCATTTGATTCAACCACCAATATTCACGATATCTATCAGTCTCGACTATGGAAGGAGTTTTGTGGTCCAGATGGGAGCCAGTTTACCAGTAATAGCAGTAACTTAAGCTTTGCTCTTTTTGTGGATGCAATTAACCCCTTTGGTAATAAACAAAGTGGGCATCACACTTCCATCACATTTGTAATTCTTGTTTGTCTAAGTCTCCCTCCCAATCTTCGACATCAACCCGAGAACGTCTTTGTAGTGGGGATCGCTCCCGGACCTCGCGAACCCTCCCTCGAGCAAATGAATTGGATCTTACGACCGCTTGTCACCGAACTTCAGGTCTTATGGTCAACAGGATTACTCATCTCTCAAACTCACGAGTACCAGGATGGCCGTCTTATCAGAGCAGCATTGTTGGTTTTTGTTGCAGATATTCCATCTCTTCGTCGCTGCCTTGGATTCCCCAGCGCTACTGCGACTTTTTTTTGTTCTTTCTGTCTCCTCAAGAAAAGCGAAATCAACAACTTCGATCAAGATTTGTGGGAACCTCGTACGTGGTGTCAACATCACAAATGGGCATGTGAGGCCCGTGATGCTAAGACAGTTAAGGAGCGCAAGAAGATATTCAAAACACACGGAGTGCGCTACTCAGTGCTTATTGAATTAGATTATTGGAACATCATCGATTATCACGTTGTAGATTCAATGCACAACTTACTTCTAGGTCTATCTTCTTGGCATGTTCGACGTTTTTGGGCAATGAAGGATCTTCAAAATGACGAAGAGAAGTTACCACCAATTAGTACTGTCGAGCTTCTGAAGCTCGTTGCGGAGCATTCAGAACCTTTACCCGATTGGCCCAATCCACCCGCACTCGATTCTGAAAGAGACCCCAAAGGACTGGATCAAAATCTTAACGATATCGAGTTTTCAAATGATACCTCATCGAGCAATCAGGACTTCAATCCCTTTGATGATGCTGGATGGAAGGGAGAATGGAATCCTCCACCCCTTGAAGAGATCATCTTTGATGCTGAAGTCCTTCGTCACATCAACTCAATACTTCCAAAGATTCATACGCCAACTTGGATCAAACGTCCCATTCCTGTTTTAGGCAAAGCATCATTTGGGAAGCTGAAAGCGGACAAATGGAGAAGCTTGATCACCTTGCAGCTTCCATTGGTTTTAATCCCGATGTGGTCAGGCAAAGATCATATCAAAACCTCACTCCTCAAGAATTTCATCCACTTAGTCTCAGTTGTGAACTTAGGACTCAAACGTGTAATCAACTCTACTCACATCGAACGTTACCGTTATCACATTCGAAAATATCTGGAAGGTTCTGTTTTACTTTTTCAGCACTGCAAGCTTGCTCCCAACCATCACATTTCTGTCCACCTTGCCGATTGTCTTGAAAAATTCGGACCAGTACGTGCGTGGTGGTCATTTCCCTATGAGCGGTTAATGGGAAAGATCCTCAAGGCAGAACACAACAATCATATAAGTAAGCAAGGCTTGAAATCGTTGTTCTTTTTTCATAATTGAACTTCACTGACCACTTGGTCTCTACATATTTAACAGCTGAGCTTGAAATAACGTTTCTGAATAAATTTTGCCGTGCAGCAAACCTTTTGGCTTTGATCAAAGATGATAAACTGCCTGAGACACTAAAACCATATACTTCACGACTTCAAGCCCTATATAACCCACCCTTGCGAAGGCCACGTCGACCATCCAACTCGAAGCTTTCCCCTCTTTCAAATGATGTCCTCAACCTACTCGTCGATTATCTGAACACCACAAAGAAAGAATCATGCGTATGGCGTCGCCCAGATGATTGGGCCTTACTGAGCAAGAGTGACTCAATAGGTTACTCTCCTGTAGCCGCTCGTGCTCAATTCTATAAACAGGTCGAACACACCGACGGATTGATTTCTACTTTCACTCAAAATCCAGATAATTGCTGTGTCTATTTCAAGGACTCAAAAGGTTCTGATTGCTTTGCTCGAGTATATTCAATATTTTTGCATAGTAGGACTTCTCTACAATCTGGTGTTTCTACTGATATATGGCTCCATGTACAATGCTTTCCCCATTTACCAACCACACATCATAATCCTTTTGACTTAACTGACCAGTCAGAAGTACAATCTGCATTGAGATTATGGAGTCCTACCGAGCAGAAATTAATCAAGCTAAATGAGGTGATTGCACAGTGTGTATGGATCATGTTCAAACCGGGGGAGATTAATCAGAATGTGAATGTATCTACGATAGGCTTGATTATCTTAAAACACTGATTGTATATACTCTTCTGAATTCAAGCTATCTCATTTTTTCTGTTTATGAACTTGATCAACACTTTGGAATGGATTTGGCTTGACCCAATGTAAGATGAACCATTCATCAAGATCTCAGCATCTCTAGAAATGAGAAGTACATGCATATAAAGGAAAGTGTAAGAGTAAAAAAATGTGGTTGCACCACCTGCTAGTGAGAGCCACTATATCAATTTGTCAAGGTAACTTATGTAAGCCTGTTACATCCGGTACCAGTTGCCCAGCATCTATGTCCTATTGACTGCATGGCTTGTCATTGAACATACCATAGCACGCTGATGTTTGTTTTCTGATCACAAGAGTTCAGAAAATGATTTGAATTTTTCAAAGCCAAAGACTTTTGTAAACTCCATGGTATATTAGTCATATGGCGTAGTGATATAATATATAAGGAAAGAAATAAGTAAACAGGCGCGTCGCGTGAACCTTATGATGGTTCACCACTTACAAGAAACCCGGATCCGGTGAGGCTTTGTTGAACGGATCCGGAGGTTTCACAGGCTGTAATGTCAGATACAACCAATACAGTTAGTGGAACCTAATTAAAGTTTAGGCTTGAGAAATCGAGAAAAAGTGGTTTTGGACCTGAGATTAAACCTCAGGTTAAATCTCGGCGACACACATGACCTTGAAACTTACCGATGATTCTCACAACAGCTGTAACTTCCCAATACATGAGATTGCAGTTGAAGAGAACGGCATGGATTTCCTGGCGAAGATGCTTGGAGCACTTTCAACCATGGAGAACAGAGGAACTGCGTATTCACACCTCTATCAAATGAACATATCTTTTCCCAGAGTCAAAGATGTGCCTCATCCATCATCACGTACGCCTTGTATCAAAATCCCGGCATGAAAAGGGTACCCTTCCGGAGGTTGAGCTTATGTTTGCTGTTGAGATACAACACCAAATTGGATTGGTGTCATCCGTGTTCTGGCTCGTTTTTATTGCGGGACAAGCAGGGTCTCGACTCAACCAGTAGAGTCCATACATGTGCCACACATCATCTGATGAACTCGAATACGCATTCGCAATTCCACGGTGCGCAATTCAGGAGACCGCAATTCAGGAGACCGCAATTCAGGCTGTTGCTCTCATAATAATTGCAACATGAATTTAGAAGTAAGAAGAATAACAGTATGCTTCATGTAAGTATGGTATCTATATAATTTGTAGACCGACTACGTTGAAGAGCATTTGCCACCAATTTAGCCGTAACGCTCCGCCGCTTCTGTAGTATCAACAAGTTCATGCGAGGTTGACCGGCACTACATATTTCTTTCAATTCTATGGATTCGAGATTGATGATCAAGTGGGCGACAAGTGATTCGGATCAATTCGAAGTGATACATACGATATACTTTATCGATGCGTTGTCTCGCGTTGTATTCCTGATATGAGTGATTACTCTTGTACTCCCTCTTACATACTCCATTCAAAGGAATTTAAGCACAATTGATACGGGACTATTTTCTGATCCCTACCAAATACATAGTACCAAATGTAGCAGATAAATGCGTTTGAATGTCGGGAATTCAATGAACTCATGAGTTCATCGCACATATTGAACCCCTTAACTAGTGGGAGAGCAGCGAGGGAGTTGGTTGTTTAATGAACATCAATTTACGTAACTTGTTGGGCTTCAAGAAGAAAACGGTAAACCTCATTTGTATCGTTTATTTGCTGGGCTTCTTCAACTTAAGAAGAGACGAAAACGAGACTTTCTCCCCTCCTCCCTATATCTCATTTTGTACATCACAAAAGTTTACATAGATACACACCAGCATGTCGATCTCCCCATTAGCCAACTTCTCAACTCTACCACCTACATTAGGCTTATCAGATATACTATTATTTTACTTTCTTGTTGTACCATTTTTCATCTTTCTCCTTGGATCAATTTCAAAATTTTCCTCTTCTTCGTCTTGGGCTTCTCCACCTCGTGTACCCATTCTGGGTTCAATTCCATTCATCAAATCTAAACATTTTCCTCAACAATGTTTGGATTGGAGTCATCAATATGGGTGTGTCCTTTATCTCTTGGGTTTTTTCAGTTGCATAGGAAAAGCTCATGTTGCATTGTTAATTTTTTCTTCTTCAAAAGTTCAATTTTCAGTCTCAAACTTGGTACTTCAAACCCGTCCCTTGTCGTTTCAGGTCACGATCTTGCAAAGGAACTTTTCATCGATCATGGTTATGCTTTTACCGGTAGAGCAAATCCATTTTTCTTCCATCCAGAATTACGTTTGGATGAATATTTTGTTTGAGCTTTCATTTCATGCCCATGAACACACTTCTATCAGATTATCTTCTTTTTGTATCATATTATATCTTGTTTTCTGATATATACACTCCTTTCCAAATTTTGACAGACGCCAGTGATGAACACTACCCCACACGTCTTGTCACAGCGCACACTCATCCTGAGTAGCACAAAGGCATCTATAAACTCTGGATTGGGGAATTGTATCGATCGCTCTTCTCGGTTGATTACCTCTAAATTATATCATGAAGCCAGTCTTGAGCCAATTGACATAAGGCACATATTACTTGAAGCTGCAGCTGTTTGTGCTATCAATATCTCGTATGGATTCCCAGTGGTCGATTTCGATAAGATTCCACCTGAAGCTCGATCAATTCTTGAATGTGCAGATGAGACGTTTAATATGTTACAGGTCAGTGAGATTTTTCCTCTTTCTGGTTGTATTTCTTCACCCTCCCTAAAAGAAGTCTCATCATATTCCCTGAGTGATCTGAAATTGATAAATTACTTTGGATTGATAAACAGTTTTTTGAAGAGCCTACAATAGCATTTCCATTCCTTGTTAAACTTCTATGGAAGCGTACTGAAAGGATCAGGAAACAGGCTAGAAAGACTTCTTCAAAGTTACTTGAAGCTTATGAAACTTTGTTTCAACTTGCAAAAACTCAATACGAAGTTGAAGGACCAGATTCACTCGAGAGCTCAGTTATCAAAAGCTTGTTTGAATCAGGTGGTTCAGGAATGAGCCAGTTTCAACAAGGATGTAAGTTGATGAAGATTCGAGCTTTATTTATAACTGCATATTCAGATATTGACTATGTGACTTTCATAATTCAGGTTTAGCTGGTACAACAGTTGCAGCAGCGATGTCAACTACTATGAACACAATTCATAGTACTTTAGGTTGTTTAGCTGTCCATCTAGATTATCAAGACCAATTAAGAAATGAAATTTCTAAAATCGTCGGAGCAGATCAGATACCTTCAAGTGAGCAAAGCGCCTTGCGTGAGCTTCCTTTACTTCGAGCATTTATCGAAGAGGTCATCAGGATGTTTCCTGTTTTTCCAATCCGTAAGCGATCCCTTACTATTCAGATTTTTGTGGCTAAACTCTCAAGCTAATTATCTTTACTTCTATGAAAACTCTGAAAGTTTCACGCGTAGCTGAACAAGACCATGTTATGAGCAATGGTCAAACGATCCATGAAGGACAAGTTTTATTTGTTAACTATTATGGGATTAATAGAGATTCAAGAGTATTCAGAGATCCAAATGCATTCAATCCTTATCGGTTTCTTGAAAGCGAAAAGAAAGTGAATTCGTATTGGCCAAAGTATGGGCATGCTAGCTTTGGAGCAGGAAGGTTAGTTTGATTATTATTCAATCTGTCGTTGTTTTTTTCCAAGTTCACATTTTCATCCTTTTGATTTGATTTTTTAGACGTTCTTGTCCGGGATCAGAATTTGCCATGAATTTGATCTTATGTACAATTTCAAGAATACTTCATTCTTTCGAGATTAAATTCTCAGATTCGATTATCTCACCCAAGATTGATTTAGTTGAACCTGTTCTTGTTGGAGTTGAACAACACACCAAGTTTCCTAAACTTATCTTCAAACCTTTGGAACCTAAATCTTATTGATTACATCTACATAGTTGATCCATTTTACATAGTTCTTGTTGTATCAAAGAGACTTTTTCTTTCCTCGCAATAGCTTCACATGTGGCGATACGTACTTTTCATCTTTTGTTTGATCTCTTAAGATTTGATACTGATCTTTTTGAATCAGCTCTTTGTATGCAACCCTTTTCTCTTCAGCTTGGTCACATTTTCCAGCATAGATTATTAGCTGCTATACATACTCATCTTTGTAAACCTCATCAGCTTTGGAATCTATCATTTCATAAATAGACCAAGAAGAAAAATTCAAAATCAAACGTATTCCTGCAAAAGAGTGTAAAAATCACATCAAGCCACACGTTACTTATTTACATATTCACAACCAGTCTATGTTTAAAGATGACGTAAAGAAATAACACGTCCACAAATATAATGTACAAAGTTGATGAGACACTCAATCTTTCTGACCAAAAGTGGGTTAAGCTCCTCAATAGACCTTTTTTTGTTTTCCACTTGGTGACCGACTTCGAGTGTTTCCTGAAGATATTAGAACACAGTATTCACCATCAGGATCAATTATTTAAATGCCATATTTAGTGATACTAATCACGGACGGGAGATCCAAAACATGCTGTCTATCCCAAACAGGAGAAAGTCATAGACCAAAGTGACGAAAGACGTACCAAAGCCGAAGAAGTTGAAAGCTGCCCATCGTAGTCGACTTGGTTGAACGAGATGAAAGATGATCAAACAGATGAACATCTCCATGTATCTACATTTCAAGCAAAAAGAATCATGAAAGGTACGATCGTTGTTTGTTTGAGTTCAGATGTGTATGTGCCCGCAAAGTCCCTGGGAGATCTGCAAAAGTTCACTCACGTGAAGAAACCAAAGGCTTCCGCTCGTGCAGAAGATTTGAGGTATCGCATGATATCCACCCAAAGTCGCATATTTTTGGCTATCGCGTCAGAAATGGTCAGTCCATCAAACTGCCCTCTGTGAGATAGACCTGGACCATCAGCTCACGTTCAGGAGCCATCTTGGGATCCAATAGAAACATCATCATGATGCGTGTATAGACACCTGATACATCATCACCAAATCACCAAGATATCAGCTTGATGACTCACATGCACCCGTAAAAAGATAGGGGTTTACAGACCAATATGAACATGCCCGACTGTCCCAATAGCTTCTTCATAGGATGAATTGGTGAACAAGATAGTGGGATCTTCCACTGAAAATGAATGAAGGAACAGAGCCGGAAGATCATATCCGCCGGGAAACAAGCTGGAGGGAAGGAAACCAAACGAAGGCCGCTCAAAGCCAGTGGCCTGTAGGAAGAATCAAACCAATTTCAGTCAGATGATCAACTTTTACCTGCAACTAGGAAGGGTCCAATACAGCGTACATCGATTACCACATCCGCTTTCACAATGACTGTTTCCAGATGACCTCCAGTCTGAACCTTGACACCCTCAGGTACAAAACTCGTGGTCTGCAAACAATTTCCAATACCATTGTCAATTGAAAATGTTACGAGTCACTCTTCTCATAAGAAAAGACAGGGTAGTGTATATAGAAAGAGAGATTAAGTACCGTTCCACGTAAATATTTAGCTGAGCCATCTCGGATCAGTTGAAGAAAATCATTGTTGACAATTGGAGTCAGTTGATCGAGGCCGTATCCCGTATCAGGTAATGGTGCGACCCAATCTACATCCCGATAATGATATCGTCTTAAGACAGCCTCGCAAAACCGGCTGACTCGAGAAGACCATCCCCACGGCAGAACCGAGATGATACCCATCGGCAAAAGTCCTCGCGGGATGATCCACTGTAAGATGAGTTAAAGGAAATACAGATGAGTCAGGTGATTGCTTAATGTTGAAGGAACAGGGAGAGGAACAAGGTAAGTAAACGGCACCTTGTCATGGCGAGCGATGATGGTCGCTTGAAGTGCGCCGCGTATAATGGCTTGTTCTGCTGCCTCCACTGCACTTGCTCCACTTCCAATCACCGCCACGATTTTGGGATCCGGCATATTGTCGAGGTCTGAAGAATGGTGTAAGGCCCCTTTGTAGACCTCGCGTGAAGGCCAGCGACGGTCGTATGGTTGTGCACATGTTCCGATCGCCACAATGATTCCATCGAAGAGCCCTTCAACACCATCGTCAATTGACCATGCCGTCTTTCCCGACACCATAAAACGTTGGACGCGCTTGACATCGTACTGTTTGCGTTTTGAATAGTCCGCGTCGGAAGTATGTCAGCATGATGAGGAACCTGAATTGAGTAAGCAGAGCGTACATTGAAACGAGTTCTTGATTCCAATCCATATCGTACCCAAAGGTCACGAATCTGCTTCAAGATTTCACTCTTTGTCGCGAAAGCATCACGACACGCACAAAAACATAAACACGCGTGAGACTTCAGAAGTGAATGTTAATAGCATCACTGGGCTCAACTTGTTTAGGGAAAGATTCGGACCACACTACCGAGGGATGAAATCGATACATCCATGAGTTGAGTTGTAGACTTGAAGTTCTGTAGCGATCAAAGGCACAATCGGAGAATACCGTCAGTGTGATCAGATACAGCAGGGGGGGCGAGGAAATAAAAATTGACGAACGAGTTGACGTCGTTCCAAACTCCTCCCGTCACATTCTTCTTGTCAAACAGGACTACTTCAAAGCCATGTGCTACACAATGAGCTGCACTCGATACCCCCGTCACACCCGCCCCCACGATCGCGATCCGACCCAAAGGTTTGAGCGGAGCAGGGCCTGGTGGTTTTGGGCTGTGGATGATAGAGATGAGCGACTGGATCGCCCCAGAAAACCAGTGTGGCTTTGGCTCTGGCTCTCCGACTGGTAATGATGCGATGATGGCTAGACAACATGCAACGGGACAAAAAACATGATTATTGGTCGGATGATATGGTTCATGCATGAGACCGATAGCCCAGAGACTGAGATTGACATACCTTCAGTTGGTGGTGTGGAGAGACGAACCATGGTGTTGTCAAGATATGATGCAGTAAGACCGGAAAGAACAATGATGGATAGCTCCAGAAAATCTAGCTTTCGAGTCGAGGAATGAGGGAACGCTGCCCGCTTCCTACAAAGTCGGACCAGCTTTATAAGAAAACGATTATACCTGGACGATAATAAACGAAGCAGGACCGCAACATTGATACCGTGAAAGGCCGATAGAACTGCAAGATTACCGTCATGTCTCAGATGATTGAGGGAGGTTTTTGTCGCGAAATCCGTCGCGTCGATGAGGTGACCTTGCCATGGGTGAGTGATGAGTTAAGCCCACGGTGGATATTTCACTATACTCTTTGAGGCGAGCTCAGCTTGTATGCACCGACTGAGACAGAATTGAAGATTTAGACATGTCGCTGATAAATTGAAATCTATAGCTATGGCCACTCATCGGTTCAACTGTTTCGTCCTTGACTCTCTCTCAACACTTCTCCCATGTCCTGAACCTCGACTGAAAAGGCTGCAAGGCTACATGATGACTAAGCTCCCTCAGAAGAGACGTGATATGCGACTGACTCCATGAAGAAAAATCATTGGTCTGTATCGACGTTCTTGTATTGGTTGTCTCCTCTTTGTTTCTCTCTCATAGACATTTCTTTTGCTTCGCCTACATACAGATGTTATAGGGGCGAGGAAAATATTTGGTAGATCAACAAAGATAACTTTAAAAGATTGTTAGACAAAGAGCAGAGACAGATTCCAAAGCGAAAGACATTTTGGGACAAAATACAAAAGTTGGACATATAGGCAAACTAGACGTATAATCTATGTCGCCTTTGACAAAAATCACGTTGCTTTGATCTTGACTTGAACCCCCTCATTAGGGGCCAGAAGCATTTTATGAGTGTGATCCTGTGTGTTTATAGAATTGGAACTTTTGAGCCTCAAGAACTTCGAATCAGCTGTGACCAGAACCAAGTCTCGATTAGTGATAGGGCTCTTTTGGTCAACAATACAGCTGCGAATATCACAGAAAGACTTGAAGGGGTAATAAAAACCTACCACTCCATTCCACCTGACTTTCAAGGTATTGTTCAGCACCCGGAATATGACTAGCAATGCCGCCTAGTAGGCGGATGATGAAATCCTCTTCCTCGGAATCCCTGTGAGATAAAACTGAAGTCCCTTCGTGATCTCGTATGCTGACCGGTATATCCTTTTTGTGTTTACCTTCCAACATAGCCTGAACCACATCTTTGATATTCTGGACCGTGGCGAACTTTAGATTGAGAAAGGGATAAATCAGATCATTAATGGGGGCACGACGATCCGCAACGGCAAAGCGCCGGATATTGATCAATAGCTCTTCGTTCTCATAGGCATTTTTGAAGGATAAGTCTTTGAATTTTTCCTCCTCTATGATTTCTTTGACTCTGGGGAAAATCATTTTCATGTGATAGAGGTGTGAATACGCAATTCCTCTGACCTCCATAGTTGAAAGTGCTATAAACTTTTTCGCCAAGAAATCCACGCCGTCCTCTTCAACTGGAATCTTTGTGTTGAGAAGATAATTGTAAATTTCAACGCAGGTCGTGAAGAAGCTGGACTCATGAGGACGATCAACATAAGATTTCATAGAGTCAATGGTTTTCAACGCAAAGTACGCCTGTGCCAGGGCTTCAGTAGCCAACAATTATGGGTCAGGTTGTGCCAGTAAAAAATCACACAGAAAAGAGTAGATGACTTACACGAGTCAACATCCACAAGTTCAGGATCCGCCGGGGAAAACCAAAGAATTTTGCTCATACTTAGCAGGTCCAAGTCTAGGTGAGAGCCAAGATCCGATTTCAGGCATATCAATTTCATCTGACCACAGAAGCTAAGAATGGAAATCTGGATATACCTTTTGTCAGATGAAGTCCCAAGGCAGCGCGACATATAGGGCCTCGCGCCATGTCTGTTCTTATGGGTTCCAGTTCTCCTTGTGGCAAAAATCCCTGAAGATGTTTCAAGACAGCAAGTACCCAAATTGTCTCCCTTGGTTTTAGAGAAAGATTCTGTAGGGTTCTCACTGCTCTTTCGCATGCATATCTAAATTCTCCCCCTGTACCAAATACGCTGGTGTTAAATTGCTCTGGTAAGCCTTCTGATTTTTCTATCTTCAAGGCCAGGAGTTTCAATCGTTTAGCAAGAGGTTCTAAGACTGTACGTTTAGACCTTTTGGAGATTTCATCGCTCATGGCTAGAATTAAGTTGAATTCTTCAATACTTGAAGATGATAGACCAGGCTGTACATCTGAGTTGAGATCGGGAAAGTTTTTATTCAAAGATGCAGGCGAATTGAGGTGCAGGTTGACTGGTCCATACACTTCAATGTCTGGCCTGATCAATGGGCGTTTTTCCAGACTTGATAGAGATCGTTTGTCAAAAGAGCTGATATGACCTGGCAAGCATTCAACTGCTCCATAGAGCAATAGACACATAGAAAGAAAGTGAAAGTGATATCCCATTACTGCAAAAAATGTAGAATCAAAATGGAGAGGTAGAGCCTTTGTGGGAGGGCGAGGATGGCGCGTAGACTTGTCTTGAGCCTTATATACATTTTATGGAAAAGAGTCGATTGATAAGGATCTTGAGGGTTTGACTGTCTCGTAATCTGCTTTGACATCATGTAACGGTGAGTGAACAAAGGTATGAGCACATGCTGCAACGCTTCAGAGAAGTTAAAGCTGGGTTGCTCCAAAAATAGGTCAGATTAGACAGATTAGCTTATCATTCGAATTGATTCTGATCACACAGCACGGAATCAGCTTGACATGCCAAGTTTAAAGTTTTGATAATCTTTCTTACACGTCTACTTCAAATCGTTCTTGTTTTAAAGATAAATGAGCTTGCACTTTATATGTCCTCTGCATCGACCCTGACTCAACCTTTGGCAGGTTTGGAAACTGGAACAATTCAAAATCACGGCGATGAGCGCCAGTTTGAACACGATGGTCATCACTGAAAGTAAAGCTTAACTGCGTGGAGGCGTGATTTGACCCTGGTCGACCATGCTTGCAAAAAATGTTATGCTGTGGTATGTATGATATCAACGGGATGTCTTATCAGCAGCATTCACTTCATATCTATGTGCTACTAATCATGCAATCTCGTGGTTTATCAAAATTCCCCTCTTGTGTGACCTCTCAAACCAGTGCCCCTCATCTCAACTCCTTGCACTGCTTCTCACGCAATTACAACCAGTGTACATACATAAACCTTCAATCTGAGTGGCAAGGAGTGGCACCAATACAAGGGTTTTCTCCTCATCATCCCATTGATCTTTCGGTGTGTCTATCTCAGGTTAGTGGTCCCTGTCTCTGATGTGGTAACCTGACATGTCTTGATATCATTTATATTGGCTTTTATTGTGTTCACTCCAGGTTGAACTCAACAAATAGCTCTACAGAGGGCCCTTTTGCTTGTCCGTATTCTTTGATTTGCCTGTATCTATGTTTCTTTGCTAGTGGTTCATTTTCTGATTGTAAACACAACATATGTTTTTGTGAGCCCTGATTCATACCCCTTACAATCAACAAAGCATATGATGAAAACAATGATACATAATGATAATTACAACTTCTGGCCCAGCTCCATGCACCTTCTGTTATGTTAAACACATGATGTAAATCCTACCAGGTAAATGTGGCTTACCCAGAACCGCTGCTGCCTTGGGCAGACATCTGGGTGAAATTCACAAAACATGTTGATTATAATGTTGACTCCGAGATAGCACTGACCAAGCTCTGGTCTCACCAGCACAATAGATTGCCTTTCTCAAGACTGTCAGCCATGAAGAGACCTGGTTGCTAATCATGAACATCATAAATATTTTGTGAAGTGTCAAAAGATTGCTCCAGTCTGGGAGCAGGTCAAAGAATACCATATCTTGCCCATCATAATGAGAACTGGCAGTGGCACAAGGTTCTTCCAATAGCTTGACACATCTCTCTATATTGTTCATTGAGATCAATATGAGTTTATATACATGTATATTCTGCAGGACACATCTTTTGTTACTAGCACTGCCAGCATTAAAGAGGTTCCCCAATGGGAATATGGGTCCTAGGGACCAGATTCCCCTTCTGTTACTGTTACACAGCTTCATGAATATTTCCTGAGTAGCCGTGATGATCATGTATGTAGTCAATGTTTCAAAATGCATGTCTCAATAGGAGTTCTCAAAGTAGACCTGGTTTGAAAAAACCCAGTTGACTTTTTGGCTGTGATCTGTCAAAAAATGTCAACTCAATACGATAAGTTACTGCCAAAAAGCAACTGGGTCAACTGGGTTTTCTTGAAACCGGGTCTACTTTGAGAACCCCTAATCTGAACAAAGTTACAGGATGTATTACATGTGATTTGTTTATCCAGATTAAGCAGATAACTGAGCAGAACTATATGTAGCTAATAGCTAAGGATTACTCAGATATTTGTGCATATGTAGCATATGCTTTATGGCTCAGTTGTGCAGTGTGAGATGATTTGATGACCCATTCTACTCTAAATGAGATTCCCAGCCTAGGCCAGGGAACCTCTTTAATACTGGAAGTGTAGTGATCCTCAAGTGCCACTGACAATCCAGTCCATCAAATCATGGTAGAAACTGCCAGCTACAGAGTCAAAAAATACTTTGAGTATCAATTTGTGATATATTGCTTTATCAAGCAACTTTGGTTCCAAGTATAGATTGACTTGTGCCAACGTCATATGTACCTTATAAGTTGTTGGCCTAAAGACCAAGTTGGACATCTCATATACTTAGATGGTTATGAAAACCCTCTGTTTGGCAAGTACAGTAACTGAAGTCAGTGCCAGATTTGATTCAACAGGGGTTGCAGAAGGATTGCAGATCTAATTTTGTAAAACACCAAAACCAAGGAGTTGACCAGCACCATGTAAATATCCGTGTAGCACGTCGACGTGCACACACGGAGAGTTTTGAAATAAATCTCAAAGTCTTTTGGTCGGATTGAGACTGAGATTTTTGCTGAGCACCCTTTGTGCTTTGTGATTTGTTTAAAGGATTTGCAGAATCCTTTGTTGTCAGTGGGGGCCAACTGACTTTCAACCTCCCAGGTGATAAGGGGAAGATGTACTTGTCGTGGAACCTCTTTGATGGGTCGTTACAGGGTCCACGGAAAGTCTTTCATGTGTGCGCGTCGACGTGCTACACGGATATTTACACGGTGCAGTGAGGCCATGATCAAGACTGCAGTAACATAATGTTTTGATATGATCATGATTTTATCAAGACACTTCACTTGATCTCAAATTGGTTTAATTCATCTGTGAACAGAGACAAAGTACAAACACAATCAGTAATTGAGTTCTTTCTCTCAAACAATACTGAAGCTTGTGGGCCAAGATAAAAATAGTGATTTATAGTTACCTTTCCACTCCATCCGACCCTCAAGGTATTTTTTACCATCAGGGATATGAACAGCAATGCGATATAGGAGGTTGAGGATTTGTAGTTTGTACTCCTTAGTATAATTGGTGATTGCACTGACTTTTGTTATATGATTTGCTACCTCTTCAATATCCTGGACCTTTGCACCTCTTGGATCTAGAAAGCAATGAAACATATGTCCAATTGGGCCTTTGTCACATGTATTCACCAGCATGCGGATCTCAAGCAAGAGCGCTTGGTTCTCCTTTTCAAAGGTCCAATCAAGCACAGCATCATCATATGCCGTCATGAAGGAAGGATCCGTCAATCGTTCATTGTCTATTATACCGGTGATTTCTGGGAAAATTGATGCCATATTGTAAAGAGATTTCAAATCACAGGTTGGAAGTTTTGCAAGTTCCACAAACATTTTCCCTAAGGCCAACGCAGCCACAGTTACTGTACCAGTACCGGTAAAGTACAGTATAGTACCTGATTTTCCCGGTACAGTACCTGCCAGTATCGTACCTAGGTGGGCACTACTGTACTGGAGGGCAAATATTTTTGAAATTTTAGTACAGTACCTCCACGGAAGGTACGATACCAGTACCGGCCCTGAAAGTACCTAAAATATAGGTACTATACCGGTACAGTAGTCAACAGTACCTGTATTTTTGATTTTCTTGATCAATCCCCTTTCCTCCCAGCACTATAGTAGTATATTTGTTTTCAGTTTCAATCTCTACTGATATTTATTACCTAATCAATGATTTATATATAAATAAGCAACTTAGTTATCATTTCTTAAGCCTTTCAATACACCCAATGTGCCGGGTACCAACTCAAGGTACAGTGAGATACTGGGCAGTACCTGCCATAGGTACGGTAAAGTACAGTACCTATCTGCAAACCTGAGATACCAGTATAGTACAGTACCTAGCGGAACACAAAGCTACTTTACTGCTGGGCATTTTTTATAGTACCTAGATTGTAGGTACTGTACCGAGTACTGTACCTGGTGCAAGGTACTGTACCAAGTACTTTCATTTCTAGTATCCAAAAAGCCAGGTACTGTACTAGTATTGACAATACTTTACCAGTACAGTAACTGTGGCTGCGTTGCTAAGGCACGAACTTCGTTTTGGTTCATTGGAAACTGTCTTGTGACAAGGTAATTGTAAAGAACTATTTTTTCACTGGTATAATGAATCTCATTATGTAACTTGAAGATTGTTTCCAATATGAAGTAGGCCTTTGCCAGGGCTTCAGTACATAACAATCAAATGTCAGGTTGGGCCAACGTAAACACTGCAGAGAAAAAAGTAGACAACTTACCCGGGTCAACACGCACAAGTTCAAGTTCCACATCTGAAGACCAAAGAATCTTGCTTGCATGTACAAGATTCAAGTCTAGGCAGGAGTTAAGAATCAGTGTCAGTCAAAATTGCACACAGTTTTCTCTGATCAAAGAAAACAAGAGTGAAAATAATGGCATACCTTTTGTCAGACTAAGTCCCAGGGCAGCACAGCATATAGGACCTTGCGCCACGTCTGTTCTTATAGGCTTCAGTTGTCCTTGCGGTAAATGGCTTTGAAGATTTTGCAATACAGCAAGTGCCCAGATTGCCTCCTTTGGATGAAGACTACGTTTCTCTAGGGTATCCACCACACTTTCAATCGCACTTTCAAATTGTTGTTGTCTGGAAAAGACACTGGGACGAAATTTCTCTGGGAGACCTGGAAATGGTGTGTCTATCTTCAATTCAAGGCGCCTCAAGTTCCCAACAAGGCTTCCTACACGCTTCAAACTTCTTATATCGATCCGGTTCCCAATGCTTAGAATTTCCCGGAAATCTTTCATTTTTGAAGAGTTTTTATAAGGTTTTAGATCTGTTTTGAATTCACCTTTAACTTTCATCTGGCTTGAAGATACGCCAGGGTAAATTTCTCCTGAAGAGTCTTTGTTTTGATTTGCTATGTTCATAATTTTCATGAAATCTTCCAGATGTGAATCAGGTCGTGAATCAGTTTTGAAGTCCGGAGAGCTGGTATCCAAAGGTACATCAAGGTGATGATTGTACGGTCCATACACTTCGATTTCTTTCCGTATTTCAGGGCCTGGCACAACGCTTGATGAAGCCTCTTGTTTGAAAATGGTATTGAGAAATGATGGACTTGCAACTGCGTAATACGTCATGAAGCTCAGATAGAGCAAGTGAATACGGACCATCATGATCATAGTAAGCAATAGGGGGTTTCAAGTCAGAAATATTTTGTGAAACTTTTTAAAAAACGGACAAGTTTTTTAAATTTTACGGTGGGTTTTTTTTATGCAAATATACGGTCAACACCATTCGGGACACCTAAAAAGGTGTCCTGATTTTTTTAAATTTACGGTAATTTTGCAACATCGGACAACTTGTTGGACTGTAAAATACGGACCATCATGATCATAGTAAGCAATGGCAATGCGAGATTCTGTGCGGCTATGAGGGGGAAATTGACTCTTACAGTGTATCTTATAATTGCTACCAGGAGGATCTGTTGATAAATGCCTTTGGTGTCTGGCTTTTCAGCATCTCTTACAACACTCCAGAGATGTAAAAACTGCGTTCCTTTCACTGAAAAAACAACATCATTCAATTTCAAGTTTAGTACATATCCTCAGTACTCCCTCAGAGAAGCAGGACTATGGTACACTCTCCTTAATCCCCACTTACTGCGGGCCTCCTTCACTTATAAGAATATTGTTGTACTTGGCAAAACTTGAAATGATGATCTAAACGCCTTACATATATTTTTTCTAATGTACCCAACCTATCTTCTGACAGCTTTTAGAAATAGACTCATCCATAATCATCAGGATGAGCCAGATGAGCCAAAGTAGCAGCCAAAGAATTTTATATATGAAGCTCATATACGTGGTTCAAACAGTTTTCTCACCGAACTTCTCATCTTGGTTGTATGTGTATTCAAGACAGTTCAATCACACATCACAACAAATCAGATATATAACAGCTCTATCTTACTCCCAACAGCGAAAATGTTGGCTAGGGCTCGGAATGCATCAACAAAATCAGCATGAAATAGTGTAAAGTCAGAATCCTCAGACTTAATCTATAGGTCTACACAGCCACCTTATTCCATGCCGGCTGTATACATAGCTACCTCGACAAATCCCGCTTACTCTTGACACATCTTCAGGATCCATGAGCCCAATTTCAGAAAACTGATTTGATATCTGAATTATATCTGTGTGGAGCCATGGGTTATATTTTCAATACCACCCTTCCAAATGATTCATGCAAGTGGTCCTTTGTGAATTCATCCCAGCTGGTTATAGGAAGGTATTCAATAACAAATACAAACAGTTTACAAGAATCATAAAAAATAGGTAACATCCAAGACCATACAATGTAATTATCCAAGTGATCAAATTTTTACAAGTAAGTTCATCACAATCTGGTCCAAAAGCCAACCATAACAAAGTGACAATAACTATCGATCAGGTCAGTTATCAAGACTCTAGTAGTTTGATGTTTTTTTATAATTATACCAATACCAAGGTACTTTATTTTATCGTCCGGTTAGGAAGAATCAAGTGTCCGTGTGGTTTGACGAAGGAAAAGAGAACCGAATTCCTATCAGCAAGTCTATCATCCTTCAGAAGACACGAACAATTTCAATTTTTTGAGACCACAAATAAGTACTTGGACTGTTGACCATATAAAACCTCCCATTCATGCTAAAGACACTTTTCCAACTTTGGGACAAGATCATCAGGATATCACTACATTAAATGATGATCAAAGCCCAAAGCCTTGTCTATCTCATACTCTGTGTTATAAATGCCGTTTCAAAGGCAGCTGCTTCATGGAATATGACGGAACAAACAGTCTGCCTACTACTTCATTTCAAACCAATTTGTCTATGTATTATGGATGTGAGTAGAGTTATGAAAGGCATCCCAAACAAAAGTGAAGACAAAGGTTGTATTTTGATATCTGTGTTATGTAAACATGTATGCGCTGATTAAGGCTGATTATTAACCTTTGTTAGCCCCAATATGTACAAAGTTGTGACATGTGGTGATCGATTGGTTGACATATCTGGAATGGTTTTTAAAATGTTTCAGCTCCGATCGTCTTCGGGTGTCGAGTGTGTTGACCATTGAACGATTCTTTAAAGTCGACTTGTTGGAATCCTCACTTCTTGATGAACTTTTCAATCTTCAACTGATAATAACGATTTCTTCTTTATCATCATCATCATCAACAACAACAACAACAACATTTCATTCAAAACTAATCTATATCATCTTCAGCAAACTATCATCGATCAGTTTCAGTTTTAAACCTTATACCTTATAATAACATAATCTCATCTTCAATCTCCCTTTCATCTTCTTGACCATGTTCGATAAACTTTCTCAAAAACACCTTCAAGTCGGTGCTAAGAGTTGGAGACCACTCGCCGCTGGAGATCCTCAAAAACGAGGTGGCATCACTGCGAACCTAGGGGTTTTTGTTTCAAACGTCCATCATCAACCGCCTCAACCTAAAACCCCCGCTCCACCTCAAACCCCTGCTCCACCTCTTTCCGAACACTCCTTTCATCCGGAACCACTTGTCGATCATGAATTCGAACCTCCACCTGAAGCGGCTGTCCATTTCGCTTCTCCGCACGATTCCGTCCCTGCTTCTTCACGTCATAGTCAACACGGTGGCGGTGCGGCTCATAGCGTGGCGAGCGGTATCACGGGGCGCGAAATGGGGAACCATGACAATGCGACCATCGATCAACCATCCCAACCCTCAAATGTCGAGATGATGCCTTCCAACGCCGAACTCGATGCTGCTGTCACTGAGGGCATTTTGATGCGTACTCGTCAAGATATTGAGGAACAGGAGCGTGCGCTGGCTGAACTGCAAAAGGCTCAAGAGTTATTGGCACTTCGTGAGAGTGAAATCAGGATCAAAGAAGAAGCCTTTCAACAAATGCTCGATGCCGAACGAATTCGAATTGAAGAAGATGCTAGAATTGCTCAGGAAGCCGCTGATCGAGCTGCAAGTGAAGCATTACTCAAAGCCGAAGCAGAACAACAAGCAAAATCAGAAGAGATCGAAAGAGAAAGACAGGCACACCAACGTGAGATTGAAGAACGTCAACGTGAAATTCATGAACGTCAACGTGAAATGCAGGACAGGCAACGTGAGATTGAAGAAAAAGAACAAGCTATGATACTTCAACTAGAAGAAGAAAAACAGCGATTAGCTGACGAGGCTAAAGCAGCACTCGAAGAAAATATACGTGAACAAAGGCGACTCGAAGAAGAAGCTCGTTTAGAGGAGGAATTGGCGAGAATTCGGGCTGAAGAGCAAGCTCGAGCTGAGCTAGCCGAGAAAATCGCAGCGGAAGAGGTACATTCTCTCGTCTGATTCTCTTGACTGAAGTGTTCATTGTAGCCTGACATGGACTCCTTTTTCTCCAGGAAGCGAAAGTTATGGCCAAGCGTGCAGCACGAGCACGACTCGAGCAGTGAGCCAGGTTTTACTCAACATTTTTGCATCTCAGCTATATACTCATATTTTGTTTGACAGGCGCGAGGATGCATTGCGGGCATTTCACGTCTCCCATATCTACCACGAACCCCCTGTCTCTCAGCCGGTACTTCGAGAGTTTAACCCGATTTCGTATGCGCAAGCCTATTCGTCACCAAGTGTTTATGCATACTCTCTACCACCATCCCCTATTCTCCCGCTTTCACCACTCTTTGTGCCAGACGAGGTCAAACAAGCAGCTCAGGCTCAAAGACAAAAGTATGAATCAGAAAAGAAGCGACGAGAAGAAGAGCAAAGGGTTGAAGAAGAACGTTTGAAAACCCTTCAATTGGAAGCTCAACTGAAGGCGGCTACCGAACAGCTTGCAGCTGAGCAAGAACAAGCCCACCGAGCTCAACTCGAACACAAGGCAAAGATTGAAGAACTCGAACGAAGGACTCGTGCGGTTGAGGCTAGACGTTTCGAGGCGCTCCAAGAAGCCGACTTCAAAAAAGAGCGAGAACGATTGGATGAGGAGAACGCTTTGACGATTCGGAAAGAATGGGAGGCCAAGCGTCGAGAAGATGAAGAAGAGATGATTAGAAAGGAACGCGCAGAAGTGGCCAAATTACAGGCCGAACAAGCTGCTGCCAAGCAACATCCATCAAGTCCATCTGCGGCTGGTGGGTCAAGTTCTGATGACGGAATGACAGACGCGAAGAAGAGGGGTGCACAAGCAGCGTCATACTTCATGGCCAAGCAAGCTCTTTCCAAGCCTTTGCGCTCACGTAGAGTCTCTACCTCTCATCACACTGTAGGTCGTCAAAGACGCGCAAGCTACACCGAATCACCGATGCTCTCATCATCATCACCTGGGTCTGGATTCATGGTTTTCTCTTTCGACGAGATTCCTGGCTATTCACATGACGCGATAGGCGAAGTCGAAAGCTCATATATCATGGATGTCAGCCAGACCCCGGCTCTTGAGTTTCTTCATAAAACTGACGAGGGGAGGCGATTGGCTAGTCAAGGACAATGGTCTGCTGTAGAGGCTCTAGTCAAGCTTGCCGAAGAGGTATGTCTTATTCTTGAATCTCTTGTCACCTAATGATCTTTATTAACCTTGATTCTTGCTATTTTAGCTCAATGCCGATGCAATCATCAAGCTCACCTCCCAGCGCCCTGTATTGATCAATGAGAATCAAGTTAATTTCTCAGCGACCGGACTAGGTGTGTTTGCCAATCAAATTCATTTCTCTTGAGTTTTCATGCTGATCTCATCTTGTTTTCTCATTTTCAACAGCCGTGTCGGTGAAATTTCCCTCTCCAGACCGCCTGAAACACCGCACACCATCTTTTGTTCCAAAGGGATCCTCACTATACAATCATCCTACCGCTTCAGCTCCGGTCCGTGCACTGCAAACTCCCGCGCTCTCGCTCAAAAGTGAACCATTTGATGTCGGCTCGCCCAAGAATTTTCATCAAAGCCTTCCACGTATTAGGTTCGACCTCGATAGTCTCATTGAACAGTCTTCAGAAAAACGCAAGCAGAGGCCGGAAAGAAGACAAACCCCTGCTTTTGAATTGAATGTCGTTCCGCCCTCGAACTCGTCAAAATGTTCGACCCCAAACGTGGAAGACAAAAGGCCCTCTCCTCTAAACTCGCCATCACCATCTGAGCAAGCAAGAGAAGCGCTTCCCCACCCACCCAATTTTACTTCACCCATCAACCCAGCTTCGTCGACATCGCCAGCAATGCCTCAGGTCCCATGCGAAACGTGTTCTTCGTCTGCTCATCAAGGAGTCGGAACTGTCCATGATTCTGCGGTCAACTCGCCTCGCCATTCAACATCCACTAATGTTCATCATCCAGCAGAACCGCCATCTCGTAAAGCTATACCACCGACGATCGAATCTGCAGCGGTCAAATCAGCGGCTCCAGTCGCACCGGCTCCGTCTGTGACGCGGGCCCCTTCGACAACTGAACATTCAAGACCTCATCAGTTCTCCGCCCGACAAGCAACACCTGCTACGAGTAAAGCCTATCCACCGCTACCTTCTGAAGCGTCTTCTCGTAGCTCAACTCCATCATGCTCCTCAGCTGAAACCCCACCACATGACCGTCGTGAGAGGGAAGACTTGCATGGTACTGAATCTTACCGTATGGCTGATCGATCTACATCGCGACATCGCAATCGATCAAGTTCTGTTGCTACCCGTGCATCGGAGCCAGGCTCGCGTTCAGTTTCTTCTCCTTCATCACCCAAACAGACCTTCGCTTCATCGGAAAAAGAGCCTTCGAGAAGCCAAAACCATAGTCGTGCATCCTCAAAGAGCTACAAACGATACAGTGCCACACAAGTCCCACTGCCGATGACTCCGGAAGAAAGACGAAGATCCTACGAATCGAGTGCAGGAGCAGGTGGAGGAAGAAGAAAAGGTGATGATGATCGATTGAAAACCCCAAGAATGGTCCCGTTGCCGGATTCCCCAAGAGAATCGCCCAATAGAGGCCAAGCTCGACGATCGGTACATTTTCCGGATGTTTGGATTGGTGATCAATGGGACTCCCATAGTCCTGCTATGGCGAGCTTGAGGAATCCAATGACTCCAAGGGTTGGCAAAAGCTTGTACGAGAGACAAGAACCAGCGAAATCGGAACATTCATGTGAGTTAGGATCGTCTTATTAAAACATATATAGATATGTCGTTGAGCCTAACTGACTATGTATGATTTTTGGCACAGCTCCTTTAATGGATCTTGATGGCGAGTTTGATATCTTAGGCCGAAGATGGGGACGAACGAAAGCGGCTGTCAGTCCTGAAAGACCCGTCTCACAATCAAGAGCTCGATACACAAGTTGGTGGGAGGATTTGAATCAATTGGCCTAATATACAATATTTTGAAGAAGAGGGAGAGGTTGTAGTTGTTGTAAAAAGAGAGAGATTCCCAAGATCTGGTTAAGAAACAAGAACGTTATGTGTTGATATTATCTTATTTTAATTGATCTTTAATACTTTTTTTTCGATGGATGGGAGTTTTTTTTCTTGGATTAAGCAAAAAGAGGAGGATTGTTTGTGCGTGTGTGTATACAAAAATTATGAAACACGATGATATAGATCTTGTTGATTTTCTTCTTGATAGGCGAATTGATCTTTAGTATTGTTTTTGAGATAATTTTTTTTGGCAAAAAAAGAAAAGATACATAGACTTTTGGATTTGGATTTGGGTTTTTCTTCTTGTTATGATTTACAATACATTTATATTTTTTAAAAGTTTAAAAATTGATATTAAAAAAAAGAGATTTCTTGTAACTTTGTATATAGTATATATCAAAAAAGGGTTAATGGTGATTTGGTTCTTGGTATTTTTGGTTTGGTTTTGATGTTTTTGGTAAATACATGTAACCATGCATTGAGAATGATTATTGTGATCTTGTTATACACGAACGTTTTTTTAGGATTGATGTGTTTTGGTGAAAGACTTGTACTGAGATTGTGAGATGAGTGAATTCAACAGCAACTGGCCTTCATCGAAGTAGTGAGCAGAAGAGAATTGAGCATTTAGCAACATCCTATTCAATTCATGTTTACTCCTTATCTTTGAATATAAATATGTGGTCTTTGATGGTCATGAACCGGACTGTTAAGAGTTTCGCAAAGGCCGCTAGTAGACAATTACACGGCAAAGTGCGTATAAGTTCACTGCTCATGCTCATAAGGAGAGGGTGTTGAGCCAGAGGTTAAGAAAGCTTGCGGCCCTGATGACGACAATCAAGTCAATGTCACAATCAAAGCCAGTCCACCTGTGAATGGATCTTGACAATGACTACCAGATAACAGCTGAGATTGATAAGGCCTATTTAATGGATGACCATTTCTTCCTCCCACATACTTTCATCACATTTCATTTTATCTCATTAATCCTTTCCACCATTTTATTTACGCAATCTACTTTTTCAAAGATCATAACATCATTCGCCCATTCTCCTTCATTCAAATAATACTACCTTTCTTTGTTTCCACAAGCTTTTCTTGAACTACACAATCATCATGTTCCAATCGACTCGTGTCGTCAACTTGTACTCAAAAGCCGATTTGAACGCTTTACTTGGGAATAGTTCGGGTGATTGGACCGCTCATCTACCTCCTCCATCTCTCGAACGTCGTGTACCCTCGACCAAGCCGATCTGCCTTACCGAAGACGCTTCTAAATTCCATTTGGACATGTCTTTCAACCGGGATGGACCTCAAAGGGATCACCACCATCGGTTTACTGATTCGATTGGGCCCAAGACGTTGCCTGGCTTGGTTGAAGGTCCCGGATTGATCACTTCAGATATCCCGGAGGATGCCAATCGATCAGAATGGAGAAGGTATTTGGGAAAATGGACGTTTCCTTTACGAACAGATCCTCCACGTGGTTTAACTTGGGGTCCTTACTATGATCCGAGAGAGGTCTCATTAAAACGTTTGGCTGAAGAGAATAGTGATTCACAAGTTCCAAAAAGAAGAAGGATAATTACAATTTTAAGATTACCTGAAGTTCAACCTAGGATTTTGATCAAGTTAAAGATTAATAAGAACTTGTTGAGAAAGAAATCGATTAAGAAAGAAAATCAAATTCATCAGATTCAAGATCAAGAAATCCTTGTAAAGTCTACTTTAGCTGGTTCTAGAAAACGAGATCTTAGTAGTCAATCATCATTTCTAATTGATGAACTTCTTCAAACCCAATCAAAACCTCGACATTGTGATTCAAATTTAAACAACACGATCATAGAAAATTCAAACGGTAAAAGAAATTCTCAAGGTGGTTTGACGACTTCTCATCAACTCTTGAACGGTTTGGAAACCAACAAGTATGGTGGTGGTGCTTTAAGTGCTCATTCGAAAGAACTTGTGGATCTTTTGATTTCTCCTTCTAAAGACATGAAGTTGATTAAACCTCGGATCAGGATATGTGTTGCTCGTCAATTGAAATACGGCTTGTGAGTTGTGAAAGCGATTTTACTTACAAAAAATGGAATTCCAATCGTTGTAAGTTTGATTCTTGAAGCTTTTGGCGTTCATACATAAACTAATCTTATTTGACTTTTGTTTAGAACTCTTGAATAATTTCTTGCGAATCATCCATAATTGTTTTAATTGGTTATAAGACTCCTAGCATTTGCATTTGTTCTTTTTTGATTTTTATTAATTTTGATCGTTTTGTAATCAAGTTTTTACATGCTTCTTTTGTGTTACCCTTGATAATCATGTTTTCCTCTTCTTGTGCTAGTCTACTGTTTCAACTGAGATTTCTATAGTTTTGTATGACTGAATGCTCAGTATGTAAACCTTCAAGTTCTAACTTCTCTTGTGTGTTGTGTCTTGATTTAAAGTGGACTCTATATCAATTCCTTAATATCAAAGTCGATTCACTTCAAGACCAATTTTTGTATCGATATAGCTTTCTCTAATGTAATCGAGTTTCTAATAGATTTACTCGTAGTTAGGTATTTGGGATTCTCTTAAATTGAATTATATCTTCAAGATTGTTAAGGTCTTGGTCAAACTTCTCATTCTAAATCTTTTTACCAATTGAAACTTATCTTGTGGTTTGGATCTCTTCCTTAAGTCTTATCACTTGAAGATGAGATTGTGAAGAAGTTTTCCAAATATGAGTTTAAAGTGTTTTATGTACATCAGATGATGACCAGAGGTTGAATTTTGAAGTTCTCAAGATTCTTTAGATCCTGATTTGTATTTCAAAGACAAGTGATAGGATCTGAGGAGAGTGAAAAGGATGTCCCGGCAAGCTTCTAAACTTCTGGCTTAGCCATGGTACAAGTTCTTTTTTTGAAAAACAAACAAGGCCTTGTACCTGCTCAGAGGTTTTGCATTTGGAGGATGATATGGGAAAAGTTTATCTCTTTAGGATTTTTTTTTGATTGATCATCAGGTTTTTCAATGTCTTCTTGTCTGTGGTCTTCTTTTCTGAGGCTACTGATACACGGATGTCGAGAAAGGCTTATCTCTGTTAAGAGTCTCAACCAATCATTCCTTTGTTAGAATAATCCTGGATAACAAAGAACACAAATTTGGTGTCAACGTAATTATAGGCTTGCATTGTACGTTGACAGCACTTCAATCTACAGCTGTTTCAACAAAGATTGATTTTTTTGAAAATCTCGCCAATGTGCAAAACCCGGGTTTTGTCCCTCACTTGATTTTGTCTCTCCGCTAATTGGAAGAATACAGAAAAGAATAAACCTGTGATCAAGTTTTGTCTCTGCTTTTACCCGCTGCGGAGACAACTTTCTCCAAAAAAAAGTTGTCAACCTTTCTTGAAACGGCTGTAAAAAAAACTTTCCAATTTTGGTCCAAACGTTTTGTGGAGTTTCTAAAAGGATCCCTTCAATGTATTTCACTGCATATTCCAAATCATCAATGGTGTAGACGGTTTTTAATCTAAAGAACATGCGGACATGCCCTCCACAGCTCAATCATTAAACAACCGAATTCCCATTGTTACATCAATTTTAGTAATGTTGGCACAGAAGTCACTGCTTGCCATAGTTCCTCATGTCTTAGAATTCAAAAAATGGGCTCTTTGCGATCTCCTCAGCTCAAAGTCATTGTGGACATCACTTGATACATACTTGGTAATTACTAATCACATATTTGTTGTACAAAAAATATTGAGTACAACCGTTGATAATTTTTGAGGCAAGCCTCATACTTAGACCATTTCACAAACTGTTTTTGTCAACAAGCTGTATTTAATTTGGGAAGCAGACCATCCCCACCTCAAGATTTGTAAAGAACCTAAGTATCTCTACAAAGCCGTCCCCCTTTATATTTGAAGACAGTTTGTAAGGTAGTTGAGTAGAAGCAAGGCTGCAACTATACTATACTATACTATACTTGACTATACTTGGTATAGTATAGTCAAACTATACTGCACTTGAACTATACTCGGTATAGTATAGATGAACTATACTCAGATATACCGAACTATACTGTGCAGTATAGTTGGATAAGTTGATGGAAAACATATATAACACTTTTCCAGGTATAGTTGGTGAAAGGATACTATACTGAGTATAGTTGGGTAAAGTATAGTTCAACTATACTATACCCAGTATAGTATAGTATGGTGTAAACAATACTATACCCAACTATACCTATACCGGTATAGTATAGTTGCACCCTTAGTAGAAGTTCAAATATGATTTGCAGGGGAGCGGAAAAGGAGAGACCCTGTAGGATTATGTGGGAGTTTGAGTAATAATAATTGAATTGCAGGAGAAAGGGAGGTAACTTATAGGAATTGTTGAGCAAAAGTGACCCACACTGAAAAGCAATAATGATGGTGAAATAACAAAAGAAACAAAGACGGAAGTAAGATATGGTTCAAACAAAGCAGTGTTGGTAAATGAAAAGTTTCACCGGAAAAGCAACATATGTAGCATTTATTTGATGCCGGTCATCAAAGTAGGCCAATTGTATAAATGGAGGAGGGATGAAAGACAATCAGAGTGTGTGAAAACCCAATCAGCATCAAAAGCAAAAAAGAAGTCAAACTCAAGGACAAAAATTTGGTCAGGTTAAAAAACAAGTCAGTACAATTGCAAAAGGCAAATACAGAACTTGATGTAAAGAACAAAATGTACATGGCAAAAAGGGTAACAGTAGAGAAACCAAAAGGAAAAAAGTGAACCACAAAATGCAAAAATTACAAAATCAGGAAAAAAAGTAGTTCCAAGCGGACCATCTCACCAACAGACCAAACTCATGCAAGTCTGTTCTACGTTTTTATATATTAGATATCTTCAACATTGAGTTCTGTGTAGCTCTACATTTTTGCCAATTACTATTACACAATAGGTTAGTGAAGCTTTCCAAAAGCTTTGTTAATGTTGGTCTTGTCAAATCTTAGGCTGGCTTTGATTTGGTGGCTTAAGATCTTGATTATCTAAGGCCCCCACACCTTGAGAGTTTCTTTGTGTGTCTCTTGAAATCTTGCTTATTTCAGGTGGCACATGTGCATTTGAGGATACCTGGACATCACTACAATTTGCACTTTGCTGCTTGTAAGAGATGTTTGAGAATGAAAAATTTGTGATTTTCCTCACAAGGAACAACAATGCTGGATCTTAATGAGGATGGTAGGGCCAGGATAAGTATCTATGTGTGACCATAATTCTTGTTAAAAATGATAAGAATAGCTCAACAAGTCCATGAGAAGGGTAGATTTCATAGTGGGAAAAGAAGAAATAAACATAATAAGTGTGAAAGGGATCACAAAAAAATAGACAGGATAGAGAAATATATATCTAGCTCAACAAGCCTATCAGAAGGTGTTGAAGTGTTTGATTTACAAGGAGTGAGTAGAGTAGAAATCAAAAGAAAATATTTAAGAGAAACAGAAATAAGAGTTGGATAAATACAATAATGAATTTGAAATTATCATTCATTATATAAGTCTTACCAAATCTCAGTTCACTTCTCTTTCCCCATCTTTGGGAAGAGAAGGAAGTTCATTTTCATTATTTTATACACTTATGATTAATATTGATTGTTTCTGTTTTGATATGTTTTCTATTTCCTTGTATGTTGATTAACTAGTTGTTCACCATAGATCAGTTATCTATCAGTCAATAACTTACAAACTGACAAGCTATCTAACTCACTACTCTGTACCAACCTATAGGTCAGAGTTATTTCTTTTAGATGTTAGTTGTTGGACTTTGTGCTTATTGTGCTGTAGTGCATACTACTAGATATCATGTATCGATACTCTTAGACATTCATAGAAGGCCCCCTGGCAGCAAATTTAGAAACAAACACCGTCAAAGCAAAAGAGACCACATGAGACAGAATAATGAAATTCATATCCAGCTGAACAAGCCCGTCAGAATCCTGAAAAAACTACGCCTGGCAATCAGAAAAGCAGCACCAACAGAACAAGAGGTATGAGGAGAAATAAGATAGAAAAGCATAAATGATAGGAAAATATCTATAGATGACATAGATTGATGGATATGTACTTTTCACCTATGCAATTGTAAGGTGGGTGTAACCTAACATACAGCTGCTCAAAGCCATTTCTTAAGTGTTGTCATCTTATTTGCTGGATGTTGAGCTTGTGGAGGGCTTGAGCCTGAATTGCTTTAATTCAGCTTTGAAGAGACACAAAGTACAAAAATAATGAGTGATTGCTTAGTTTTCTCAAGATTGAAATTGTGGAGCTTGCACGAGAGACCAAAAGTGTGATAGAAACTTACTTATATACTCCACCTCACCCTTGAGGTATTCTTTAGCACCAGGGACATGATTGGCAATGCGCTCTAGGAGACTGATAATTTTGTTATTTTGTTCAGAAATCCAAATTTTTTCCCTTTGTATTAATTCAAGATCTTCTCCTGTATAATGCACTCTGTTTTTAATATAATTGATTGCCTCTTCAATGTCCTGGCCCTTGGCTTCTCCTGAATCACGAAGGCTTTCAAACATACGTTCAAATATATGTTCAAGTTGAGTAGAATGATTTTTTGTTATGAAGTTATGAATATCTTTTAAGAGTTCTTGATTATTCTTTTTGAAGTTCAAATCAAGTTCTTTATCATGGGCAACACTCAATGAAGGTTTCAAAGAGGTAGTGCGAAAGAAAGGACTTGCAACTGCATAGTAAACCTTGAAGGCCAGATAGAGTAAGTGAATGTAATGGCCCGCGATCATAGTAGAAAAATGAAATGCGTGCTCCTGGTGGGTATGAGGACGCTTATCATATATCTTATTTACTCGACACCAGAAGGGTAGATCAATACCTGGCGTAATTGAAAGACTTGTTACCTGTCTCGCCACAGCTGGTGTATGGCCTCGAGCATCTCTTACAGCAGTCAAAGGATGTAAAAGCTGTGTTAACCATACTGCGCGAACGAGAGATTCGAATGTCAAGCCCAGTATCCCCAGTACATTGCAAGCCCGCATGCCGTGCACTCGAAGAGCTATGGTACAATCTCCTCAATCCTTGCCTACTGCGGACCCCCGTGAAGATATCACATGTACTTGCGTCAAGACACCAGGAATTATTCAAAGGCATCATATTTTTTTCAATCTGCACCTGACTCAATGTACGTCGGGTGTAGCTGATAGACTCGTCCGCGGCCGTCAGGGTGGGCCACAGTTTTAGCCGTATCTGAAGCTGAATTGCGCAGGATTCAACAACTTGTCATCTTTGCTTCGCCACCCACTTCTGAAGTTATGGTGGTCTCTTTTGACGAGGTTCCTGGCTATATTGTACATGACGCGGTACAGGCAGTCGCAAGCTCGTCTCATTATGAATGTCAGCCAGACCCCTGATCTTGAGCTGCTCCGCAAAACTGATCAGGGGAGGCGATTGGCTAGTCAAGGACTCAATTGGGGTATCAATGGAAGATTTGGATACTGAGTCCTGACACAAGGAAATCAGGCGTCCTTTGGTAGTTGATGATATGGATGTGTCTTTAGGAAGTCTGGTGAATGAGATTAGAAGCGACCTCTTACATTCAGTTGTGATGCCCTTTGTAAAGACAACCTTTCTCTGTAGCTTTGATTACAAGCTCGGCGCTGAGGTTTCGGCATTCCTGGATATGTTTTGATTATTGGTGTTACAAAATTCATGTTATTTTCATTCTGGGTTTGAGGAAATATGACAGGTACGAAAGATATTCAAGCACCATTCCCACTACATAGCTATGAACAATTTAACTAGAAAACTCGTAATTGGTCAATATCTATAGGGAATTCTCATGGTGACCAAATTCTTGCAACGATTATAACTTGGTGATTCCTTCTAACTTGAAAGGCCAACTGAATCTTTGGCTATAATTCCATTGATAGCTCTAAAAACCGTCGATTGTAAATCGAGGGTATTATCAGAACCCAAGGAATGTTTGCATATAGTTTTAGAAAAAGAGTCTGTTCTGCTTACCTTGGTGATTGTATATTCTTCGATACCTTTTTGGCCTAATTCGCGTCCCCAACCACTAGACTTATACCCACCGAATGGCACATTAGGAGGACAGAATGCATATGAATTGATCCTTTTTTTGAAACAAGCACGCAAAAGATGTAAGACTTAAAAGTTTATCATAGAGGATATTTCAGTGAAAGACTTACCATACAGTTCCAGCTTTTAATTTTGAACCAATTCGAATTACTTGATCTTGTTTTTCGGTATGAAGTCCTGCTGCTAGGCCATATTCCGTCTCATTTGCCATCTTGATAGCTTCTTCTACTGTGTCAAATTTCATCACCACTGCTACCGGTCCAAACTTTCAAGAATAATAACAATTATGATTACGTTGAAATTTGGAATAAGACGCAAAATGAAGAGCTAATGTAGAAAGGACTTACTATTTCTTCTTTCACAATCTTCATCCATGGTTCAGCATCCACAAAAATGGTAGGTTCCATAAAATTTCCACCTTCAATCCATCCATTCGGATCCGAATCCTTAGTACCAAATCTTTGGACTTTGGAAAGAGTGTTACCTCCCAAAGCAATCTTTGCACCTTCTTCAACCCCACTTTTGACATAATTCATAATTCTTTGTAAATGCTGGACGGAGATTTGTGGTCCAGAATATACATCTGGATTGAATGGATCACCAACTAGATGAGAACTTGCTTTTTTTAGAAAATGTTTCATAAATTCATCATAGATTGACGATTGTACTAAAATTCTTGATGAGCATGTACATGATTGTCCCTATCCAATCATTCAGATGGATCAACTGTTGCGTTAGTTGAGTGGGAAATTGGAATAGATGTTGATGGTGATGGTATCACTTACCATATTCTCGAAAACTCCTAAACAACACCAAGCTGCGGCTTGTTCGAGATCTGCTGATTCTAGGACTACAATTCAAAGTTTGCACGGTAGGGAGCTAATCAGAACCTTGCTCGAAAAAATGTGAAGCAAATGGCGTAATGACTATCAAAACAAAATGGATGATAAACCAACATACCAATATTGGGGCTCTTACCACCCAATTCCAAACTAAAGAAATATCAAGCAAATTTTTAAGCTCAGTTGAAAAACCATAGCTGTGTACCGGGTTGGTGCAAAAAATGTCAAGTCTAAATTAAACCCACTTACTCTGTGCAGCTTCAACAGCAATTTGTTTTCCAACAGCCGTACTTCCAGTGAAAGCTACTTTATCAATCCCAGGATGACGAGATATAGCACGACCACCAATAGGACCATAAGAGTTAACGCAATTAAATGCACCTGCTGGATAACCTGCTTCTTTGATTAAGTCACAAAATAATAAAGTGGAAAGTGGAGTTTGTTCGGCAGGTTTGAAAACGATTGCACATCCTGCTGCCAGTGCTGGTGCTACTTTCCATGCCATCATCTGATGAAAATTGAGATGATTAAATTAGTGTTTTTGACGAATTGATCCCCACATTCTGATGTGTTTCAATCGTGGAATTCAAATTGGGTGAAGTGATGACAATTTATGTGATAAGGCTTACCATGATTGGGTAATTCTGTTACGTAGAAAATCAAGCAAGAAGGAATCGTCGGAATCAGCGATCCAAAAAAATACATAAAAATCAGAATATAAAGACCGCCCATATTGCTCGCAGTTGGGTTCAAAATATGACAAAAGGAAATATAGGTATTTCCTTCAAGACTTGCCGATATAGAGCGATTTGAGATTCGAAACGATATAGGAATTGAGGAAAACTGACCCAAGGTACGATTTGTCCAACTACAGGTATGGGTTCTTGTCGAGTGAAAGAAATCCCAGTTTGATCATTTCCTTCCAAAACCTTTCCATCTGTAGCAGAAAAGGCTTGTGCAGCATAATATCTAAAAGTTCCAATACTATCTGTGATATCTCCTTGCGCCCAAGTGATACCTTTACCAGAATCAACGGTTTCTAGAAATGCAAGATCGTCCAGTCTGGCTTCCATTAACTGGGAAAGGTTGTTAAAAAGATATCGTTATAAGTATTATTAAGTGCGATAAGAGAAGGAAGATCGATCATGATGATCATGGGTTCTGTAGATGTGTATCTTGGAGTAGGCTCACGTCTGCTAATTTGTTCATCAGTCTAGCTCGATCAGCGCCTGGTGCATTTGTACCCCATGTGGTCTCAGAGGCTAACTTGGCAGCCTTGACAGCCAAATCAATATCTTGCTCGGATGCCTGTTTTTTTAAAATCGATATTTTACGTGATGAAAAGCATTGAACGTTTGAAGTCAAAACTTCAAGCATTGAGGACTAACAGAATGTACTGCGGCCAAAATCGATTGATCCGATGGATTGATAGAAACAATCGGCTCTCCGTTTCCGATCACATATTGATTATTGATGAACAAGCCAGTGGAGATTTTGACTGAGTGACCGTTACCGGACACGGTCTCGCTGAGGCTGAGAGTTGAGCTCATGGTTTGAGGAACCTGTTCAGATATCCTTATATGTGAGTCGGAACAGATTTCAAGCAGTGCGATGATAGGTATCGATTTGTAGCTTCGTAAAAGAAAGCTGAAGTTGAATGTTTGGAGTGGTTCAAAAGTTTTCAGATGTTTGAGACCAGAACCGTTTGAAAACAAGCGGTCTCAAAATGAGTCTCAATAGTTCTCAATGGGATGTTTTTACAGATCTCGATCGCTGGATTTGTCATAGTCATTTCCTGGCGAAGGAAAGATGAGCTCAGCCTGAATTCCCAAAATGGTTGGAAGTTTGAACAAACCCTATTTGTCAAACTTAACTTCATTTGTAGCCAAAATGACAATCCTGTACACTTTGCTAGCATATTACAATACAGCCCCAAGCAGGAGTGACTCAGGACCCTTGATCCGTTATCCTACCCCTGATCAAAAGCAGACTGAAAAGCTTTCCTTGAACCTGGTCAAGGTGAGCCCTCACGGCTCAACTACATACATTGGGTTTCAATTCAGGTGCGTCACAGTCAACGAGCGCGTCGGACAAATGACAATCGTTCCGCCAAATAGTCTCACCACCGGTTCAGCTACACCTACTCATGTGCGGTGAATGAATGGTATTCCCCACATCCTGCACAGAAGCAACGTTCTTTATAGGTGATCTTGTTAACCAGATGAGCTTGTACACTGGTAGATCTTTGCCATACTCGCACCAGCTAGATAACTGGTTATCTCAAAGAATGAAGAATTTGAAAAAATCGCCAACACTCCCTAGAGCTCATGGATTTGTTGCAGCCTTGGTACCCCAATGTCAAAGGGAGGTTTGGCGGATGGGGAAGCATAACTTATAGATGTTCCAGCCAAGCTAGAACACTACAATTTGGCTGCATAGTTGATTAGAAAATCCACATACTCTCAGAATCATCAAAAAAGTGATGATCATCTATAACAAGAAATGAGGAATTGCAAACCTGAAAAGATCTGAACGGACCAAGTAGAAGGTCTTCTTCTTTTCTAAACGTCGTCACGCTCAAATTTTCCCATCAATCCATTCCTTTACCATGTCAAAGGCTTCACAAGATAATGTACGCAGTGGTGTATGTATTCTGATTGAATATGTATATTGTCACATATGTATGTGCAAGACAGGGAAAGGGGAAAATGTCTCAACCTGGTCACTTATTTAGGAAGGATGTCCATGTTCCTAAGGCTATGAGGAGTGGCTGCATAAGTTTGAAATATAGATAACAGCATATTGAGGTGACTAACATCTCTTTGTCAGGTGCATTCTCATCATTGTCGGACGAGCCATTTTGTGTCGTGAGGATCAAAATCACGTACTGTTTTCAAAGCTTCATTAACTTAGGCACATCCAGATGGGGCATGTACTATACTATGCGTTGTCGCGTTCAGATGAATAGAAACATCATTTGCAAGGGGAAGAACTTGGTCAAATGGCTGTAGCAATGGCGCTGGTAAAGTCACGTTGCATTCATAGATACGACATAGATATAATATTGGATAAAGATACTTCTGTCGCAGCAAAGTTTCAAAGTGGGAAGATAGATCATACGTATGTCCAATTACAGAAAGAATCAAACCTGTGCAAGAGGTGCCAATGGGTAGGAGGTATACATTTTTGACTTGTCGTGTTTATTTTGGATCTCAAACAAGTGCCACCCAGAAATTTATGAAATGAAAAATTGAAGATAGATCTAGCGATATGTTGAGGTTTTACTGTGCCTAAAGATGTACAATCTACCTTCGTCTTTGTGGTACTACCGGAGGTTTACATTTACTCCCGTGTTTCTTACGTCCGAAGTGGCCATGCCCAGTTACGGACGTAGTGATCACTCCTCCTGCGCCGTCTTCAACGAAGACTCTCGAGTAGAAAGCTCCCTCAGTAGTTCCCTCCTGAGTAACAGTCAAAGATTCATTAAATTTTTGATTAACCGCGAGCACATTGAATGAGATGCTACTCACTTGCAAGCCAACATGAGGAACATCTCCCCGCTTCGAAACATCGACCGCTGGGTCCGGAAGAGGGCTGATTAAGTTGAAATGAACAAATCAAAAATATCAGTGCTGTGATGCATATCTCTTTAGAAGAATGAGGAAGAACTAAACGCACAATTTGATCAATTGAAAATGCCATTCCCCTTTCAAAACGTTGTCTGCTGCAACGACTTTCGGGTCGTTCATCACTGGACCAGCAACCATCTTCAGATCATCATTTCCTTCTGAAGCATACACCGTCAACATGCTATCAAGGCAAGTCAGCTAATACTCTGTTGATGGCCACATAAAGTGAGGAAGGTGCCTTACTTTCCTTTCCAGTCTACAGCAACTGCAAAGTTGTAAAGTGTACCATTTTTCAAGGGGGCAGAATACAAAGTCTTGGTTGTCAAGTCTCGCACTCGAATTGTGGCGCTGTTGTTGGTAGGAAGTGGCGCCTTATCGTCGGAGTTGAAATCCGATCCCGTGAAGATATCGAAGACGTGATCGCCTGTGAATGTAAGTAGATTAGGATCTATCTATAGATATTGATAAGAAGCAAAAGATGCTTACCACTCTGATTACAAAAGACATATCGATCGGTTCGAGAAGCCCCGGTGAATATCATCAAACGTATACTTTGAGAGACAAAGGAAAACTCACAGGTATCTCGATACTTCCCAGAAGATAACCGTGATTTAGATTTAGAGGCAACTTTTTGTTGAGACGAAAGCTCTACAGAAGGTATTGGTCATCAACATAAGCGCTTTAAATAAATTGAGCCTCGAGTAAAGCCAAAATTTAAATCACCTGGTGAAATACCGTCGTACCCACTAGAGTGGTATTCACGTCGATCGCGGGGAGGACATCCGTTCGCCTATCATTAATAAGGTGAAAAAGGCTCGACTGCAATCAGCACGAATTGGACAGAACTCGAACACAGATGATGACTGACCTGAAGCCGTATTGTGCGTTTGCAGGGTTGTCCCCTGGGGTAAAGATCGAGTCGTTATTGATAGATAATCCCATCTCCGTCAGATTTCCGGACTGGTGAAGAGACAGATAGTCCGAATTGTTTTTGTGCTGGCCCTTTGCCACAAACTTGATTAATTTCCCCAAGTCGGACGCAGGGTTATCGGAATCTGCAATCTTCATCTGTGGAGTAAGAGCAAAATCGAAGAGAGTCTTGTTTTGTGCTACTGACTCTCGAAGACAAATCAGGACCAGCCCGAGGTGTACTACCAAAGAAGTGATGGAAGGCATAACGCGTTGCGATAAAGATGGGACACGAAAGACAAAAAGAATGTACAAAGAAAACACTCCTTGCTCAGGATGTAGGTGCTTGAATATCAAAAGTGAAAAGGAGATATGACTACGCAGGAAGTGAAAAGTTGAAGGAGCGAGATGGGGTGGGGCGGTTACAATCATGCTCCATGAAGTCACACGTCCGATTATGTACTCTCGCGCGCCTGCGGCCCACCCACCTCTTCGAATTCATCAATCAGTGGCTCAGCAACACATATAAACTACTTGCTATGGTGTTAGTTACCCCGCCGCGCGATTTGAACGCTCAAGGAATGTAGCAGAATAAATATTCGGAGCTATACCGTGTTGCTGATCCCAAGTTGTCAACTCGAACAAATATGGCGTCTACACATGCCCGCCGCAGTTTGTTTCTGCGTGGTCGGCTCCTTCGATGTACACGATCATGCCCACCAGTGACCATGCTACCGGGTCATGCTTCGCCGGCCTACCATTGTAGGCGTACTCAGGTACGTGTACGGTTACCAGATGCAGAACGGTTGCTTTGATCAATCTCCTGGTCGTACGCACCGCACACTGTATATATAGTATGGCCGACCGGAGCGCCTCCAGGAAGAAGCCTACCGCACCTATTGATGTCCTTCTTGAGCTGTGGTGGTATGTATCCTAGGAGTACTGGGGTGGCTTTTCGACGCTATCTTTTGCTATCTTCATCTTTGCCGACATCATCTGAGTCACTTGGGAATGTAGAGGTTGTCCTCAAAGTTACACAAGGATCTGTAAAAATCCTGGACCAGCCTTCCGTAGCTGAAAGGGAGGTTGAATGAGGTATGTATCTTGAAATGGGTTTTGCGGCAGGGTGGGTCACAAGTCTCGCGCTGACGCGCTCCCTCCAAAAAAGTTGTTGAGGGTTTCAGTTATGTAGTCGACGGTGACCAATAAATCAAATTGCCTCAATTCTTTATGGTGTGTGCCCAAAAGAAGTAATGTTTCGAAAGAGGGGACAGTGAATGAATGGTTGCAAGACCAACAAGTTTTTTCCGTAGGCAAAGCGCGCCTTGTCTATGTACTCAATAGAAAACCTGATACAAAGTGTCCTTTTGTTTTGAGTGATGCTCTACGATTTCAAGGTCAAGATTCCTCCAAAAATGTATGATATCAATCCTTTAGACATTTGCACGAGATCCCCTTAAACAGACTTACAAAAGAAAGACTAAGAAAGAGTTCAAGACAAAAAATGATTTATACAAATTGAATTCTTTAAACAACTGCTCTACTGTAGAATCACAAAACTCAAATCAATATCTGGCCCTCGAAAGCGTTTTCTTTCCAATTCCACCTTTGTTGTTTGACTTGGCAACTCCGGCCTTTCCAATAACAGAAGTGTTGATTTGACCGTTTGCACCGTCCTCAACATACATCCTTGAGAAGAAGATTCCCTCATGCAGATTTGCCTCCTGAATACCTTTGTGGGGCACATCGCTTCTTTGGTCATAAGGATCAGCAGGGTTAGGAAGGGGACTGAAAAGAGAAAGCAGATCACTAGGTAAGCCTTCTTGAAATCACGGTCAACTGAAAATGGCCTTGGCTCACAATTTGATTAGTTGAACATGCCATTCTCCAGTTAACTTATTGGCAGCATCAACGACTTTGGGAGAATTCATCATGGGTCCGGCGACTTTCTTCAATTCTTCATCGCCTTCCGATGCATAAACGGTCAATTGACTACGAAGGAGGAAACCACAAGCCTAATGTCAAAAAATCTAATATAAAAGCGCAAGATACGAAACGAAAAAGAAGATAAACAAGTGTAGTGTGCTTACTTTGCATCCCAATCTACGGCAATCGCAGTGTTGTAAAGTGCATCATCTTTGATGGGAATAGAATGGAGCACCTTGGTAGTCAAATCTCTAATCCTGATCGTTTTGGGATCATTCATACTCTTTTGAGTCAAATTAGAGCTGAAGTCGGACCCAGCAAAGATATCAAAGACATGATCACCTAAAGGACAATTGGAAAAATTAGTTTCAAGGATTTCTTGACTGAATTTCCAAAATGTGATTTGACTTACCACTCTAAGAATTCCAATTTGTCGGGATAATCGAATTTAAGTCAGAACAAGCACTCTCGATAAGATATAATCAAAAATTCAACTCACCGGAACCTCAATACTGGATAGCAAATAACCATGTGTGAGATTTAGAGGGAGTTTTGGGTTCATGCGGAAACTCTGAAAAATCATAATCACATTCCTGTCAGAGTCTCATTTGTTATGAAAGCTTTTGTTTCTGATCTTACCTGGTGAAAGACAGTCGTTCCAACAAGGGTCTTGTTAGAATCAATGGCTGGAAGGACATCAGTTCGTCTATCAAATTGATCAAAACATCATCAGACCGATTCGCCAACGAGAAACAAGAAAGTCTTCGCACCTGAAACCATGTTGACAATTGTCCTCTTTATCACCAGGACAAAAGATGGATGAATCTTTGATTTCGATTCCGAGTTCAACATCTTTACCCTTAGATTCGATCGACAAGTAATCTCCCCTTTTGTTCTTCTCGCCTTTTACAACATACTTGATCAACTTCGATAGAGCTGATGAAGGATTATCAGCATCTGATCCTTTCATATCAGCTGTCAAGGTGAAATCGAATAGGCGATCTGCCCCTGGTGATCCTGCTGCTGCCGTGATCGTTCCACAATAGGACAGGGCCAGTGCGACGTAAAGGAACAGAGAATTGAAGTTATGCATGTTTCGAACAAAAGAGTAGTAAATCAAGCGACAAGGTAAAAGTTGATCAAGAATATCAAGAAATGTTAAGAAATATAAACGCTATCAAAGCGTGCGAAAAGTAAGACAAAAAAGTAGAGCGGATACTTCAAGGCGTATTGAAAATGGCAATGGGATGAGGGATGGTAAGCCCACAATTGGCCTCGAGTGATGAGCTTTTATATCTTCACGAACTCTTGGAAAAATGTTCATGGCGTCTTTCGATTGAATTCAAGAAGCTAAAGTTCGAATGGCAACTAGGGCATGATGTGATGGCGTCAACTCCACCACGCGGAATTCACCATGGCGAATCCTCCATTTCGAATTCCTTCTGCATATGTGTCTTCCTTTCTCAAATTCTCTAAGGCTGGTCCCACTAGGTCCCACTATACTTTGGCTCATTTCTTGAAGCGGTAATAATCTTTTCCATAACAATAACAATCCGTCTTGATTGAATTTCAACCTCTCCCGCTAGATCAGACTTCCCATGTTCAGAAGAATTGTCTAGTACGGATGGAAAGAAACTTCCAAACAAGGCTCTTCGGACATCTACCCTGGCAACACGTCAACAGTTCAATTTTACAAGTTTTCGCTTCTCGTGTGGTCAATGGTTTTTGTCGAGTTATCCGTCCTTTGAACTTCGCATATGACCAATATATATGACTATCGCGTGTATCACTCTATCAAACCACCTCGCCTTGATGGGCGAAGCTGCGGTATTTGCTCAACGCTTCTGATAGCTCATAACATCAAGGAAGTGATTGTGGTTCCTTCTCCAGGACTTGGAACTGATGAAGGGAGCGAAATGGTCGAAATTTGCTCAAGCTGTGGTTGTGCTCAGATACAAGTAGTTCGTGCAACATCATGAGGGTTGCAAAGTCAATCAAAGCGAATGTGTGTATCCAAAGGTTGAACTAAATTTAAAGGATGCGAGTTGGTTTCAAACCAATGTTTGATAGCTAGATCAAAACTTAACTCCCAAAACTTCCTCTTTGGTTCATATCTTACGATTTTGGTCAACTATCGACAATTTAGCAAGTTGTGTCTTCACGATGCGGACTTCAAAAGACCTCCCCACCAAGTCCACTCCCTTGACCAACATCAAAACAATATCTCGGTAATGGTTCAATGGCACTCAAGACTCATTCTCGTTATCAGCTTCTGCAATTCTTCGTGATATTCTTTTCTTTGGCATCAATAGCAAATTCACTCACTCTCCCTTTAATGAATCGACCCACTCAAATTATTCATTTGGGATCCTCAGGCCTCGAAACTTTGAAGCCCAGCGATAGGATTGATGATCTTGTAGACTCAAAATGGATAGCCGAAGAGCTTCCTCAAAAGAATATGTCTCCCTTCGATGAAAATGCACAAGCAGATTTGATGACAACAATTCGGTTACATTCGGAGGAAAGCTTAGAAGAAACCTACGGTTGTTTGACTCAAGTTCTTTCTATTCAACACCCTTTTCACGTAACGCATGGACGGATCTTAAGACGGAGGAATCTACAGAAACGAGGTTGTAAAGATCCGAGTATTTGGCAACGTATTCATCGCCAACTCAAAAGACTCAAACGTCGCATTGTCATGTGGATCATTGAAAGTTTAGCCAAATCCAAGGTTACGGGTATGAGAACTTATGTGAGGTATATCAAATTCAGACGACTTTTTGGTGGAAAATGTGAGTTTTCATGATCATTAGAAAAGAATATATTCATGACTATCTTTATTAAGGAGGAAACTGACATAAATTCTCTCGACTTTTTTTGTTCTCACAAAGGGTGAAATGCAAGAATCTCGGAAAGAAGGAAGAGCCGGAAAAAAATGTATCATCTGCCTCGAACTACTCATCGCCTAGTATTCAAACAAGTTCAACGACGAAAATTATCATTCTCACTCTATATACATCTTAGGATCCTAATATCTTCCTTAATTTGGCTTCTCATTTTGGCATGTCATAAATCTAGACAACATATCTAAGAGCCCTAATTCTATAACGCGTATTTCATTGATCAATTCCTCTTGAATAAACTATTTATCATCCTGAAAACGACACCTAATTCCCATTAAATTTCTAAAACATAATACAATCAGACCCTCTTGTAACAAAGATGATCAATTTGAATCTCCGAGACCTAAGCATTTCATAACACTTCAACGCGTTCGATGATCTCTTCCTTTTAGATATTTATACTACTATCTAATGAGAGCTAATTATAGGCTAAAACGAAAGCGCGTAAGAGAAAGGTGAATGGGCGCTTGCAAAAAGCTCTAAAATTTCCATCAATTTCCCAAATAAAATTCCCCTTGCCAATTGTACATAATCCGATGAACCTCCCTTTCCTACGCTCGCCTTAACATCCCAAAGACTTGAATACATCCACTAACGAGGTCTACTTAAAGTCTTAAAAGTGAACTTTGCAAATTTAGATAAAGGAAGTCCTAACCAGGCCGCAAATCTGATTAATAAGTTGACTAAGCTCATCTTCATAGCTTTTAATTTCTTTTGAATAAATAATTTCCAACGACTTTCTTTGGGAGTTTTTCTTGATCCTGATTTTTTACAACCTTTCCCAAAGTTCCAACGACGGTTTATGAAAGTTTTGTATGGTGATAACCCATTCCTCACCCTTACAATCTCGCATCCAGCGTTATCTTTTTGCTTCTGATCCACTTCTTCATCTAAGACTTTCTCTTTGGAACTCCCAACACCAATCGTGTTCCCCACTCCTTTGTCTATCCCTGGCTCTTCACCCATCGAAACCCTCGAGCCATATCCAATCTTTTGATTAATATCTATAGCCTGATGATTTTCAATGTGTTTCAATTTCACTCCAACGTGCGCGACTTTGAGTTCTTCCTCCCCTAAAATCGCAGTTCTCCCAAAATCCAAACCCATCGCGAAAAGAACCACAACCCCAAGCTTCCAAATCGCCTTTCTCATCGCGTCCTTTGTTTTCTCTTTCTTCTTGTTGATGTATAGATTGATAAATGAATTGTAGGTTATGACCGTTTCAAATGATGGAGATGTTGGGGGATTGTTATAAAGAGAGCTGAGTGTAAAACCCAGGATGAGGGTTCAAACTCACCTCCCATATATCACTTGAATGATAAAAGAGAAATCCCATATCATCTTCGTAAACGTTTCCGAATAGTTTGAAGCTATTCTGAAACTCATATAAATTCCATCCAAAAGAATTCACTACACACATACGCAATATCATATGCTCATTTTGGTTCAATCAGAAATCCTAAGCTCAATGATGAAACAGATACCTCTAAAAAGCTTTCTAGTCATTCCAAAACAAATTGGTCCTATTGAAAAGGAACGAACTACAATTTTCAACATAAGGATAAACAAATCTCTTACGCTTGAGTGCTCAATTGTTTCCGATTTTCGATTCCTCACAATTTGTGAAGTTGTTGAACAAAATCGTTGATTGGGATCATGTTCTGCAATGAGCTGTACAAAACCTAGTCAGAATGGCAGGAAATAAAGGTGATCAAGATGTGCTCCGGCCGGTATCCGGCGGCTTCAGGCCATTCCGACGACCGAACCGACGGATATTTTGTTTTATCCGCACCGATCGGATAAAATCCGATTGGTTTTTTTCCAAAAACCCCTCGTCCGACACTCAAGCCGATACACCGGATATGCCGGATTTCCGCCGGATAGCCGGAGTATCCGGTGTATATCCGGCGTTATTTTCTCCTCCCCTCATTCCGAATACCGAACCGGCCGGATTACCCGGCCACCGGACAATCTTGAAGGCCTTTCCGGCATCCGGATCCGACGGAGCATCCGACGGATATCCGGCTAGAACCCGGGTCCGGGTCCCATCTTGAAAAGGTGATTTGTAAAATTCTGGACACCTTCAACAAATCTCTAAACGTTCTCATCATCTGAGTGACTTACAAGCTTTCGCCGGATGAGCTTATCACTTTCCCTTTCCCTTTCTTGTGAGGATCCTTCAACTCCACCGTCAGGGGTATAGTCAAAAACTCAATAGTCATTTCAACATATATCAAAGTCCTTGGATGTTCAATCATTTCCAAAATCTCAAGTGATGAGATTATTCATATCCCTTCATATCCTATTCATATTTTGTCAGCAGATAGTATCTTTTTGTTTTCCACATTCTCTTCCTATGAACTACAATTCTCAAAAAGAATTGAACCCCAAATCTTTGTAAGCATTCTCTCATATATCTCACATTTCAACTTCTCACATGAAACAACAAGAACAAGTCTTGCATGAATACCTCATTATGATGTTATGCGATCCATTTCTGTTCATTGATCAATAAATATCAATTCGTTCAACAAGAAATCATATCTTAAAGGTCCATCAATCGCGAAAAATCCTACTTCAAAGACCTAAGTATATACATCAAACCTTCAACAAAAACACCTTATAGTTCAATCCAAATTATTTACTATCACATACTCTTCTAACACAATAATGATTATCAAACCCATAACAAATTCACAAAACCATAAAAACCAAGGAAAAAAAACTTTTGAAAACGTTCATCAAATTCATAATCCAATAAAAAAATCTCTATTCTGTTTCATACAAAATACCTACTCCATTTCTGTCTTGTTGAATTGTTTTCAAAATGTTTTTAAATCATTTACTATACTAATGAAGTTACATCACATATCACAAACCTTCACAAATATCAAACAAACAAACATTCAATATCAAAATCAATAATGATACATTTTTAACTTCATCCTGTTTTTACAACAAAACAAAATTCAATATTAATCAATATCAAGAACAACAAAAAAACAAAAAAAGGAAATCAAACGTACCAGTAAAAATAAATTGTACCAAGTACATAGTAGCACCACAAAACTTAACAAACGATAAACCAAAAACACTATACAACAAGAATGTCTTGACGAAAAAAACAAAAGCCAAAATCAATCAACCAATCTTTTCTACTTCGCATTGATTTGACAGTTTAGATATTCAACTTACCATATACGCATTAACTTTTGCATTATTTCCATCAGCTGCGATATTCGAACTAGCACCAGTAGATAAAATCACAGCTACCAATGCTCCCTAAACAATCACGAACCAAATACACAAAACACACCATTAACCCTAAACGAACTCAATCCAAAAAGCATAAAGTAGAAAAAAGCCGATTTTTACACTTACATTCATTATAGCCCAAGCCAAAACGACATTAGTACGAATGTTTCGATACGAATCTGTCATTTTAGTTTCCGCATCAATATGTTCTTCTTCAACTGGAGGTTTGACTGATAAAACATGACAAGCATCATCATAAGCTGCATTGATATCTTTTTCATCGGTTGGTACACTGATTTCCACTTTATTTGTTTTTCCATCTTCTGCTGGTTTTACTACTCCTAAATCGGTTTCTACTTTGTTATCTCCTTTTGTTCCCCAACTTACATCATGTCTGTTAAATCATACAAATACATTTGAACAGTCAGTCTCAGATTTTAGATTACTAGAGCAGTAAAAAGTTTGAAGTTAGAGAAGAGCATGACTTACACATTACAGAATGCATAGACGTTGATGACGTTGATATAAGAAGGCGACATAAGAATATACTGAAGAAAAGACGTAAACATATGCCAAGGCTAAAGATCGACGAAAGAGTACTTTCAGTTAATGCGACTCTCAAACACGATCAACAGAGAATGCAAAAATCTCACTTCAAAGAACATAAACGAAGCCACAAGCCAAAGTCCATAGGTAGCCACAAGTGACATGACAATATTTCGAAAGATTGAGTTCGCAAAGAGCTGTCCCACATCGAATTTCTGACCACCTGCTGAAATCGCTGCTTCTGCGTTCATGAGTCCCTTGACTGAAATAAAGATCCCGGCAAACTAAAGTTCATGTCGAGAAATAAATCAGTCTTAGGTTGATATGAATCAGAAATGGTCCCCAAAAGTGAAAGACTGACAGTCATGTAAACCGTGATAAAGGCGAAGACCAGTAGCGCGGTGGTGAACATAATATTCGACCTGGCATGAAAAGCATTGAGCCAGCAGTTGTGTGTCATGAGAGAATACGGATAGCAAGACTGACCCTTGCGGTCGATTTCCCATAGCTAACAAAAAGCACATGATAAGGATTCCAAGGTATATGTACCTCAAGACATCATTGAAGTACTTGATTCCATTCAAGCCGAATGAAGGGTCTTCCATTGACTGAGTCAAGATCACGAAAGCCTAGTCACGAAGGCAGATTAGCGGTAGTTCCAGATAGCCAAAGAACAGTCAAAATGACTCACAATGTAATAATTGGCTAGACCAAACCACGCAAACAACATACTAAACTGAAGAATTGAAGATTGTCAAGAACTTAATTGTCAATAAGGGTAGTCTTATAATCAGCTAGATGAAAGGAAATGACCAGGCTCACTCACAGTTTGATAGACCATCTCGAAGTGTAAGATGGCTTTTCTAAAGAATGAGTGACTTGACCGATACAGGTAACCGAAATGAACAGTCGAATGAATAGCCGCAAAGAATGATCCATTCAACCATCTTCTTCGTTGAGAAATCAATTCCGGTACCTATCCAATTCAAAATTCATTACCGTCTTCAAAATTCGAGAAGTCTTTTTTGAAACCAGAAACCTACAAACCTGATCAGGTACATCTGTAACAGCATACGAATTCTTAACATAATGTAAAATCCATGAAGAATTTCGCTTAGAAACCAATTCCCAACATAAGATTCGATCTTCTGCTAAATACATATTCTTTGTCCAAAGATCTGCATCAGCTGAATGTCCTAATGTTTCTCCTTTGAAATATTGAGTTAAAGGTCCTTCTCCTCTTGCATCATTTTGAAGTGCGATATATCGATAGGCTGAGAAAGCTCCAGGTAAGACGGTGATATAACCAAAGACTGACTCTAATGGTTTGTCTAGGATATCTGAGTAAGGAAAATTGGTGATAGAAGCATGAGCCGTATTTCAGTCAACTGGTACCTGGCTTTTGAAATATCAAAACTTGAATCAGACTGTGTAGGAATTATCACTGACTTGACATCTTATACTCAAAGTTCTGGGCGGCGACTAAAGGATTCAAAAGGTTCCTCAACAGCTTTCCCTTCAGAGCTACAATCTCACCACAAGCTCCTCCCACATTTGAGTTGACATCAAATGACTTCCATAGTCTATATATTGAGCTAACACCAGGTTGAGTGCCCACATCCAATAGGACACAAACATTAGGTTGAAGTACCGGTCCAAAGGCATTGAAAAACCATCGGTGAGAGTTGATCTTCTTTTGATTTTTCTCTTTGAGACAAAATAGGATTTGGACTGGTACGAGACCTTTTTCGGCTCCTTTGAATTTCATTTCAGGGTCAATTGAGATTTGAGTGGTATATTCGTATATATGTGCTGTGACTGGCTTGTCATTGACTAATTTTACGCAAGAAAAGATGATAGCTAAGTCAACTTCTTGTCTTTCAAATGAATACTCACATATAAACTAGAAAGACTTACCAACGTTCTTTGCCACTCCATCTTGATAAACACCCATTGCTGCAAGGACAGAGAGTGTACGAGAATTGATTTTTGATCGACCATCAGAAACAATACAGACTACTACTTTCTTCCATCCATCTTTTCCCCATGTTTTTGATCGATCTCTTGAACAAAGGTGCTGCACATTTTCTATATGACAGATTTTTGAGCATTTTCCGGGTCAACATCGCGTTTTCTTTGACTTTGTATACATCTTGAAACAGGGATGGCAGACAGGTGACGGAAATGAGGAGACTGACTCATGACACCATGCATTGTACGCGTGAATAGTTGATCATCTTCATTGTACATTGTCATTACGATGAATAACTCAGTCCTTCTAGCAGGTTCGTACAACACTTGTCGCAATGTATACCGTTCATCCTTGAAATCATTTGGCTTTAGAATATCGAAGAGGACCATTATCATCAACTTTCTACCTTTAACGTGTGATTTTTTTTCCCATTCCATTTTCTAAAAAGAGCCACTCACATCACAAGTTGCAGCGGTATACCTCATATGAGTGAATTCTCGATCGTCTTTCTTTGGACACATTGCCAATAACTTGCTTGGTACTTTACAATCAAGTACCAGGTTTCCGTGATAAAGTTCTACTCTCTTTACTGTCTTATAACGACGAGGTTGACGTTGTGGGATTCGACCGTATCTAACATAACTGTCATCTGGTTCAGGGGCAGGTACGAATCCACCTGCGTTATATGGATCAGGATATTCGTCTCCTGTCATCAGAGGAATATCTTCATGAGAAGATTCGTGTGATGGTTCTGAGTGACGTGCGGTAGGAAATGATAGATGGTGTTCTTGAAATGGATCGGTACCGTGGGCCGAAGGAGCCTATAGCATTATTCAAAAGTGAGAAACAATTCAATCAGTGCGCGAACACATGGAAAATTTGAATATATATTATAAGATTCAAGATGAGAAAAATATGATATTACATAATGACTAGCTGGGTGCTGTGAGGCAGGTACCCATTGTGATGAATCAAATTCTTCCTCATGTAAGCCACTACCACCATAGACCGCTTGTTGACCGTAATCATGAGTCCGAGTACTGGAATGTGTAGGAGGATAAGGAGGACGAGCGGGTAGGCTATCATAAGAAGCATTCGAGTTAAGATGAGAACGCGGCCCTATACGTCCACCTGGGACTTGATGCATTGGTATTCCCCAAGCTGAAAGGAATATGAAGCATTTAATGAAATAAGTTTTTGGATCAAATCATTTGAGCGCATTATAGTTTGAATTGACTTACAACCGCCATTCTCTTCATCAGGAGGAGGATAAGAGGACATATCAGAGATGAGTTGAGAGTATGTATGTAGTAGACCGTGTTGGATTGATTGAAGTGAAGTGAAGTGAAGTGATGGTGGCAGTCACAGTGGCTATGTATGCAAATTCCAAATTATTTGGCGAAGTGAATTGGACTTTAACTCTCAAATTTTAATCCAATTTCGAGGTTTTAACTTTGACTCTCTCTCGCACCAATTCACATGTCATTCACTGAGGCTCACTCTGCACAGCATTTCCCACCGGCTCATCATATGCAATCTCATTCATACACATTCCACTCTACCATCCACTTCTTGTTATCTTGATCAGGGAATGTCTTCCTTTACCCACACTTCATCAGCTAAATATGTATATCTCAATCACCGGGGTTTCATTCAGCCAGTCTTCTGCTCCTTTGCCGACACAGAGTGTCATACCTTGAAAGCACCACAAGATGAGGATGCTGTATATACGGAACTTATCAAAGTTCACAAACCTTGACTTGCCCGCAAAACTTGAGCAGATTGATGGTCAAATGGTATATATGCACTGCAGACATTATTCGGGTTCCCCAAGTGGGCAGGGAAAAATGATTGGGAGTATGATTTGTCATAAAATGGTCTATCACTCCACACCTGAGCCATAACACCCACACTACATATGTGTAGCAGGCTCAGTGAATATGTGGTTATCATGTACATACAGTTCTGCTCAGTTATCTGCTCATCAGGACAAGTTATTCATATGTAATACATGCTGTAACTTCTTTCAGATTGAAAAAAGCTTCCAAAAGATTGACTACATACACTGACTCAATGTTTTGGTGTGATCTCATCAACTCAACTGCATGTAACACACTTTCTGTTACTAAGACATAGCTTCAACAATATTGCCTGAGCAGCTACAGAATTATATGTAGTGAATTTTTGGGAAAAAAATTTCAAAGTCGAAAAAGTTACATGTGGTATAACATGTGATTTATTTATTCTGATGGGCAAAAAACTGAGCAGACCTGTATGTACATGATAGACAACTATTGACTTAGCTTGCTGCACATATGTAGTGTGGGTGAAATGGCCCAGGTGTGCAGTATTAGATTCTTTTATGAAAAACTGTACTATTAATCATTTTCCTCTGCCAAATTGGGGAAGTTGAATGATGTTTACAGTGATGGTTGCAATTACAATTCATCACTTTTGGGCCATATATATAGTCCAGGCTTTGCCATTCCTTTTTAGAAATATTAAAGAACAGGCGGGCATGCCCGCAAGGGATTCAATGCACCTAATTATGTAGTCTCTCTGGATCACGCGCAACCCTCACCTTGTGGAGTATAATAGCATGATCAGCTCACTCAAACCTTAAGGTACCTCTTGAAGACACACAGATGTATCAAGAAAAATCCTGAGGAAACCAAGGAACCCTCTCTCAGTTTGCTCCTCATGAAGTAGTATCTTGTCTTGTAGTTGCACATCAAAAGTGATTATACCCAAAAATCCCAGACTTCAAGAGCCAGTAGAGGGAGGCTTCTTTTTTTATGAATCAATGTGTCTTGAAGCAGCAAACAAACAATTTCTTTGCCTCACAACAACCCCCAGATTGAGGAAAAAGTTCCATAAGAAGGTCAATTTTCTCTTGCAAAAAGTGGTTCTGTCATGGGAACAAGCATACAAGTTTGTCATAAGTCCCTTACTGCGCTTGAGGCATGTAGGAGGCAGCAAGGAATTGAGTTGAGCTTATTGGGTTTTCAATAAGTGTATTGGTAGAGGATGCATTAACACCTCTTGGACATGATCAATATCAAAAGTTGGTCTTCACAATGCACACTGCTTATTTGAACAACAATAATGCAAAGGTAAATCATGCATATGCAGCACATTGGACATGCAATTGGACCAACTTGTTAATAGTATGTATGAATATAGAACCTGGGTAAGCAAAAAGGTTTTATTTTGTATGGGTAGGACAGTGAAAAGTGGATTGTTACCTTTCCCAAAGTTAGAGGACCAGCAACCAAAATGAAGAGGATGAGCACCAAAAATGGTTAATGTGGTTAGCTCATACCTTTTTGATATTTAGATGTGAACCTGCTTTGTACTCCTTGATTTTGGTTGACACTCAGATAGGGTTTTGGGAGGGGATAAAAAAGCCCTGCTCAGCTCTGTGGAGTAGGCAAAAGTTTCCTAAGTCTAATGACTTTAAAATCCTGCCTTCTCCCTTTGGGTGTGCTTAATATTGCATAAAGGTCTGATGCTTAAGGTTCCATTAGGGCAGTTCAAGTCGGGCTTATACAGCCTGTCTTAAAGTTTTATGGACTGCTCGGTGTGTCATAAATATAAGTTAAATTTTAAGTTTCGCGAACCATCTCTAGAGGTGGTTCACAACCTTGCGATCCAGTTTTAGGTCTTATAAAAACGTGGACCACGAGCCCGAAAAAATGTTTTTTTTTGTGTTTGTTTTTTTTCTGTTTGCCCTGCATACCAACGGCTTTTTCTAGAAATCAAAAAAAAAAGAGTTTTTTTCTTCGCTTATCTCTTTCATTAACACTTTTTTCGATCAAAAAACGGATGGTTGGCTTTGAAAACTTTGATCGCATGGTCTATCAGGGTCTGCCCGGTTCATCCACACAACACCAAAAGTCCTGCATTCATCCTCCGAAATCAGACCTTCGCCAACGCGACCTCATCACTTGGGCTTCCAGGTGGCCATGTCAAATCATCAAGATTCAACTGCAAACCAGGACTCGATTCATCAAAAATATTAACCTAAACTCAGATGATCTCCGACATCACCTATCAACCGACCTGCTTGGTGGTCAGGTTGGGCTGCGTTTGGACTCTGCTGTCTTGGCATGTCATCATATCATCCGATACGATCGGGCATCCCAGTGGTCCGGCTTCCAAACGCGTGATATCTGTCACTGGTCAAGCATTTGGTGAATCACAAACGTATTTGTAAGTCCTCCTCCATCAACATTTCTTTGCTGTTCAACATATCCTTCTGACCAATTGCTTGAAAGTCATTCATTGGCGCTACTTCTCATCCTCAGCCTCTTCTATCTTTTGGCCCTCACCACTTGTCGGTCATCCATCTCCTCTGCTGTACGCGAACACATCTCATTATTCACTCAGCAAACGGTCCCTTTGAAGCACCCAATCACTTCTCAAATATTGTTCTTGTACTTTTGTCTTTTCTATTTGATATGACACCTTCTCAAACCACTGGAAAGGTTAGTAACCCTCTGAGGGTTTTATCCCTTTTTGCCTGTTCGAAACACTGATCGTTGTGGTGCTGTTCCTTTGTTCTTTTTTTGGTTTGGTCAAAATTTCGATTTGATGTGTGTCAAACAACCGCAAAGGTCAGTAATCCTTCATAGCCGGTTCATCTTTTGGCCCGTTCTAAACACTGACCTCGAATGTGCTTGGCTTCTAGGTTACTCAAAGGACTCGCCGTACTAAAGCGCAAATCGAAGAGGATCTCATTGCGTCAGGAGTGCCCGCCACCGGTCCCCGAGCCATCCCTGCCGCCATCAAGCGTTCTCGCCTTGTTGCTCAAAAACGCGCGCGTAGTATCTCCATGGCTACCTCCAACAGAAACACCCGCGACAGCCCTCCGTTTGATCCTGTTGATTACCAAACAATTGTCGCGTATATCAGTGACCGGAAGATTCGTAACGCTGTTTTTGGGGGCGGGAGCCGAACTCAAGTCTCAGGAATGCCAATGGCCCCGAACTCGATCTTGAATTCCCTTGCCATCAAACTAAACAACAGCTACAACATTCGACACAACACTACCGAGATGCGTCTGAACGGCCGAGTCCTGCATCAACGACTCAAGCGTTACAAGGCTAAATACACCAAAACAAAATCCTTCAGCTCAAGAACTGGAAGTGACTTGTCTGCCAAAAACGCCGCCGATGGGATCCATACGATGGAGCAACTATTAGAATCAATGTGCCCATGCTTCGATCAGATGGATATGATCTTTCGCGATAATCCAAATGTCAATCCATTTGGGGTTCTCGACACCGGACTTTCTCCACCTGCTTCTGACGACGACCTCGAAAACGACAACGACGACGACACCCAAGACCTCCATCGACACAGTGTGGACAGCGACGGAAGTACAACCAACGGTCATGATCACCAAATGGTGATTGTGGAACCCATTGGTATGTGCCATTCCTCTTGGACTGCCTTCGTTCTCTTGGGAATTCAGTGACTGATTGCCTTTGAGATCAATCAACCACTGTCCAAATTTCGCCAGACGTCCCTGCTGCACAGATTCCAAGCCCTGGTGACGACGAGTTGCGAGCTATCCAAGACATTCTTGATGCCCAAATGCCTACACCCAGGCCGTTGACACCCGGCGTTCCGCAGGACCTTCCCAGTCCCAATCTCAACGCGCACTATCGAGCATGCCTTGAAAATGATAATAACTCTCTTCCCCCTACCCCCAAACTCGCTTCACCTGCTCTGTCAATTGCCGAACTTCCAGAAAAGCGATGTACTGCAACCTCTGCTCAACCAAAGAAACCAGCGGCAAAGATATCCAAACGCAAAAGCTCCAAAGTAGACACCCTGACCCCAGAAGAACGCGCTTTGGACAGCAACTCAGACGACGCTGCTCCTGTTTCCGGTACCCAAAAACGTGGGGCTTCTCGAGCTACTCTAGCCAGCCGTTTGATTGATCCTCTGCCATCAATCGACCCATCGACGGTTCGAGGGAAAGAACACAAACACCCTGTCGCTGCTGCGATGCAAATTGGTAATGCGGCCAAAATCGACCTGTTACAAGCGGCATACAAGTGGCGACAAGAGTTCGATGCTGCGAAACAGCAAGCTGATTTGGCCGCTCGCGATTCCGATCTTAGTTGGGCCAAAGAGAGGTTCTTTTTGGAGCGTGAGGAGGAGCGTAATAGAATGGCTATCGCTGCGCGGAACGATCGCAAAGCATTTTGTGAGAAGTTAGTTCTTGAAGGGAAGACGCCCCAGGAACTTGAGGCATATCTTCGCCTCGTATATCCAGAAGAAGTGCAAGGGTGAGCTTATTCTTTCATGCTTAACTCAAGTGCTCCTCCGGTTCTTTGGCTGACCCTTGTTCTTTGACGTCTTAGGGTGAAAATCTAGCACAAATATCTTTCCGGAAGTTATGCCCTTTTCCGGAAGTCCTTTAACCTTTGGTTATATCTGTCTCTAATCTGCCAAGTGTTCTCATTCTTTTGTCCTTACATTTCTCTTTCTGTTGAAACCCGAGGGTTTCACATGTCCTTTTCAACTCAACTCAATCTCATATTGTGCGGACTTTCACTGTCTGTCCTCGTTGTGCTTTTTCAGTTATCAAATATTTTGTTCAGTTCAGTCTATTATGATCTTGGTATGGCCTGTTGTATCTTGTATCTCCACGTTATGTCAAGTGTGTCACCTTTTGGTGGAATGATATCATTTTTTCAGTACCTTATTTGGTTTCAGGGACACAGCGAGCAGCATGCGTGCAAACTTTCCCAACAAAAGTTGAGCAGGATGAGATTTATGATGAGGTTGAAACGCACGCATGGAGATAACATATGTGAGCATTTCCCCGATGTTGAAAGGGGAAAGCGATAATCAGTCGTGACTTGTGAGCTTTGAATGTACGATAAGCATTCGGGACTTGTTATTTTTAAATGTACTTGAGATTAGTTCACTTGACTTGACTTGACTCTGAAAGGCAAAATAAATGGTCGATTATGACTTTCAAAGGCAAGAGCAAAATGGACTAGATAACATAGACAGATTAATACATTTAACAATTCGTATCTGAGAAAATGAAACAAATGAAACATTACAAAAGAGATACTATGTCATGAGAACATCGCAAAAACAAAGGTAAAGCTGAAGTGAACAAGAAAGTAAAGGAGAAAATGGCATTTAGAGATCATTGAACAATCGGGAGCCCGCCGCTCTGCCAGTTGTAAGCCACCGCGTGGTCTCGCACCTGTTCTCGCTTTTCCCTGCCTCGCTCCATCATGACCAGATCTGAAAGTGCTTCGCGGAACCTCTCCTGCCCCGCTTCGCCAGGTTCAGGTAAGACCAAATCATTCTCCTCATCTTCCCACGCGTTACCAAGATCCGCTAACATATTGTGCAGGATGATGCAACATCGCACCCATCGAAGTATGTGATACATGTCTTCTCTCTCATTCAGAGCCAGCCGTAAACCTTGAAGTGATGCCCATCGGGATTTCAAGATTCCGATTGAATGTTCGTTTCTGACCCGAGACTTTGCAACACACCAATTAAAACATGTGTTGCGCTCTACCTCTGCTGCTTGCCCTTTGTACAAAGGGACCACTGTTTCCGACGGTATGTAGGCTGAATCTGCGAGGATATACTCGCCTGAGGAAAAAGTAGACCATAGTCAGTTGTGATTCTGTTGCACTGTGATAGAGGATCACTACCGACCTTGGTCAAAGTATCTATGTGGGTTAATAGCGACGTCGGTCTTCGAAAATACCGTGCTGTCACAACAAGATCCCGGCCATCCACCGTATGCGTAAGTGATGCGTCTGTCGCAATCGCAAATGATTTGGACATTGAGTGAATACCGATGTTTGCAATCGAAAAACACCTCCCCATTCTGTCCTGGTCGCTGGAACAGGGGGATTGTGGTTCCGTCCACAAAACCAACACAACCAGGGAATCCGTCCCGCTCCAAAACCCTTGAAATTGCTTTACGTCGATTAGAGTTGGGCCATGCGATGTAATGAGAACCCGCTTCGAGGATGGCAGAGATCACGCGACGTGTACAGTTGACAACTGATCCACGACCGACCTTGTAATTCCTTGCAAAGCGTCCCACCGAAGCGCCGTTACCGTTGCTACCGAGACGCTCCAGTGTAATGGCCAGTTGATGTTTTACTGGTGGTTGTGGATTGTTGGTGTTCGAGATAAATATAGGATTCAAATGAATCATCTCCAAAAGCGCCCGAAAGCCTTCTGGTGTCGTTTGCATAGCTTGGCGAAAGTCGGTTCTTCTGGTGTGGAGCATGTCCCCAAGATCGAAAGGATTGGCGTGAGGTAGACGCATTCGGGGTTCGAGGTACCGGCTGGAGATGACAATAGAGAGCATGTCACCCCACTGGCCTTCTTCATCAAAAACCTCGTCATACAAAGTCGCCATGTGGTCGTCATTTGGAAAGAACATTTGTCCTTCGCTAGGTTCCGGTTGGTGGTCATCGAGCCCGGGTATGTTGGTCGCCGCGTTCATATGTGCAAAGACACATAAAGTCGTTAGATCTCTTATAGCTATCACTTGTTCAGATACACGAGGCATGATGGAGGTGGTGAAAAAATGAGATCGAGGTGGATGCGAGCTAAAGAAAATTGAGAAATGAAAGCAGGTATGACCAAACGAAGAAAGTTGTTGTCTCTCTGACTCAGATATCTTCACAACACGTCTACAAGGGAACATGAAAAAAATGTGATTGAAAAAAATCAATTCAAAAAATCACTTACCGTGGTGTTTGACCTGACAAACACGGGCCCACATGACCGTTAGTACTTTACCGTTGACCCTGGAAAACAAAAGACGTAAAACTTAATTTTACGGCGTTTGGGACTCTGCGAACGCAAATTTTAAGGATCAAACATACTTATAATTTACGTTTGGCGATTTCCGGCGAGCTGTTCGCAAGATCTGTCTTGAACTGCCCTATTGCTTTCCTTTGGGTGGGCTGAATGCCTGAAGATGAATTATATTTGATGTGTCTAATTATTCACATGTGACTACCTGTTTACAAAATGAAAGGTCTGTTCACTTAATTAATCATTTGATGCTACCTGCTTCCAACATGGAGGTTATGCTCAATAGGGGGTTTCAAGTCAAAAATTTTACGGTATTTTGCAGTACAACAAGTTGTCCAAGACCGTAAAATTTGACGTAAATTTCAAAAATTTGGGACACCTTTTTAGGTGTCACAAATGCTGTTGACTGTATATTGGCAGAAAAAAAAAACATCGTAAAATTTATAAAACTTGTCCGTTTTTTAAAAAGTTTCACAAAACATTTCTGACTTGAAACCCCCTAATATAACTAGTTTCTCAACACTTCCTGGTTATGAAATGGAGGTTATGCAACAAAATGGGACAAGACTCTTGTTTTTGAAATAAGATTGCTGCTAACTCCATCCAAAATTCAACAAAATCACAGTTCTTGACTAGATGGTTGTGGTTCTAACACTACAAGGAAATTTCTGTCAACGGTACATAAACATCAAAAACCCATATGAAAAACCCGTATGAAAAACCCGTATGAAAGACCCATTCCAACCCATTTGAATTTGGTGTTTTTGCAAGGAAATCTTGAAATCCAAATGGGTCTGACAGGTTTTTCATATGGGTTTGTGATGTTTCTGTGCTCTTAATTTGAGTTTTTAGTGCAAAATTCATAAATTACTCATTTTGATTATGGACATCCAGTTTCTTCATCAATTACTATTACAAGTTCAACATAAGTCATTTTCAAAGCTTCCAACACTGCACAGATGTAGTATTTTTCGGCTATGCAAAATGATTAGAATTAATGTCAAAAATAATTAAAAATGCTATGTTAATGCATAAAAATGCACCATTAATGCACCATTAATGAAAAAAAATGCAGCATCAATGCAGAAAAATGCAGTGTTAATGCACATGCAGAATGAATGCAGAATTCCACCTTTTTCAATTTTTTTTGTCCTTCAGGTCAATCATTTTTCACTTGGGAAAAATACTACATTTTCCCAGTGCAACATCTACAGTCAACTACATCTAAGTTTATATCCCTGTAAGTGCATAATTTTCTATGTGCATAGGATTTTTTGCCTCCAAAAAGGGTTTTGCCAGCCAACATGAGGTCTATAAGTGCATATTCCTATCAGTGCATGGAAAAACCACCTGCCAAGCTGTATGTAATTAGAGGGAGTTGACTGTAGTCCTATAAGTGCATGAAGACCCCACCTATCAAGCTGTATGTAATTAGAGGGTGTTAACTGTACATTAAATCTATCAATCTTTATTTACAAGAAGGTACTCAAGAACAAAAAAAATTTACAGAAGTATATGAAAAATTCAACAATACAGGTAAATCAATTGGAGATGGGTTTTAGGATATGAAAAGATAGTTTGAAGGTTCAAGAAAGCTACAATATTGTAGGGAATGATCACATTAGTCAGCAAGAACCTTAATTGGAAGAATTGAGTAGTGAGAAGTGAAGGTATGGGGAAAGAGAACCTTATAAAAAGTAGTAAGCAAGGGTAGTCTAGTTTTAGACTGATTTTTAATTAAGGTTATTAATCAAAAGAATCATGTTTTTAATTCTGTGATTGACACCGCGGAAACAACTTGTTGGAAACCCGATTGAGCTTAATTTTGGTGTCCGGGTTCGAAATTTCCTCAAATCGTGAATCTTGCTCACAACTTGTTCACATTCTGTTTGCCGATTCCCCTCGGGCTGTACTCTGTACTCGGCTAGGGCTATGACCCGGCCCTGGACCTGCCCGGCCGAGTCTGCCCGAGAGCTTTTTGGGCGAGGTTGAGGCCGCACCTGGGGCCTTAAGTCCAGCCTGGCAATAGTGAGAAAGGCTCCGCTCAAAGGCTACTCAGGGCTGGGGCTGTCAAAAAAAAATTTGTGGAGGCATTTCTGAAGGCTTGTTGAGGCAGTTTTCTGGAAAAATCAACATCATCAAGCATCCACCCTAAGCTCTCAAACAGGCTCAAAAAGGGCTGGCCCAAGCCAGGGCCTGCGCAGTGCTGCCCGGCAGCATCCTTGAGGGTGCTGTGGCCGAGGCCGGGTCTGACAAGAACCCGGGGCCGGCCCTGCAGCTTCAGGGCCGGGTCATACCCCTATACTTGGCTGGCCCCGTGTACGCACAATGACATCATACAGCACCATACCCTTTCACCATTCCTCACCTTCATCCTCATTTGTCAAGCCTCGATCAACCAGAAAAAAAGCGGTTCAGCGGGAACATGATAAGCGGTGAGATATGTAGTCAAACGGTTGGAATCACAGGTTTTGAAAGTGCTGTGTATGTGTATATATTGTAGGGTACTCAAGGGAAATTGGCAAACGTATTGCAAACAAGTTGTGGACGAGATCCACAATTCGAGGAAATTTTGAACCCAGACACCGAAATTCCTCTCAATCGGGTTTCAAACCAGTTGATTCCCGCGGTGTGAATAGAATAGGAGAAGAAAGGAAGCAAAATGTGCACAAAAGTGGTAAGGTGAGTGAAAATGTCCAAATAGAGTAGTTTTTCATTAATTCCGTACATCAAATCTTATCTGATGAGGCTTAGTAAGGATTTGATTGCCACAGAATCATCTGTTTGCCAATGTAAAACCTTCAAATCAATAGTATATGAGGTGTTGTAAAAACAACATAAGAAGATAAAGATGGAAAAGCAGTTGTCAACTAACTTAACTAAGTCCCACAGTCAGACACTTCTTCCTTGCAAGCTTGGGTGTCTGGTGAGGGACTTAGGACTAATCGGGCTTCCCTGGTGGTCAAGCAGGACTGCTTAAATTGGAGTTTGGCGTGGAGAATTTTTCACCACCTCAAAAAGTCCCACTTCCACTCAATCAACCCCTGTTTGATTTTTAACTGGAGATACTTCAAAAATTCCCAACACATATGTCTATTCAGAATTCCTTTAACTTTTTCTGAGCATCCACAAAAAAGAACAGAGGTTTTTGTAATTTGAAATTTGGTTGGTGGCAGTGACTGTATTTTCAAAACAAAATTTATAATCGAACACGATCCTCTTTCAATGCAAGAGGACTGCCATTTGATCCAGCAGCTGTGGTCAAAGATGAAAGGTGTACATTTCATTCTCCAGAAGATTTTGGTCTCCTCAGAAAATCTGTAGCATCCAAACTACAAAAGATAGGCAGCTGTAGAGCTGAACAGGGGTTTTGGCTTCCTGCTGGACCACCAAAAGTATTTGATTAGTCGCAAGTCCCTACCCAGGGCACCGAGCTTGCAAGGTTAAGAGAGCCCTGCAGTAGATTTGGACTTGTGTTAAGTTAGAGTTGTCAAGTTTGAAATTTGGCTTACATGTAAATGAAGGAAACCCAGGTGTATCATTTTGTTTTTAAGTGCTTTGGATTTCACATACTGCACTGACTAACTGTGTGTGTTTAAAGTAAATCTACCAATCCTACAACTTCTTCTAAATTTTCTTGTGTGATGGACTATTGAGCCTTCACACTAGACACAATATGATTGAGAAAAGGAAAAAATGGCATAGTTTGGAAAACATAGACGGAAGAGAAGAAAAACTAAAAAAAGAAAAAAAGGAACAATAGTAATTGGAAGTGACAACAATCTGAGTTTAGTCATCTAAATATTTTTTGAGGTGGAGAAATCTCCCTTTTGCTTGAATGTATTGCGCTAGGTATGGGTAAATTTTGGGGGTATCCAAGAGTGTTGTAGCTGAATTCGTGTTAATTTTGATTTTTTTGTCTTTCAATTTTTTTCTGAATGTTTGTCTTTCTTTAGTGAATTTTCTACAGTATATCAATGTATCATGGGTTTTGTCTTACACAACCACATGTAATATGGCTTACTAACATGTAACAATCTCCAAAACTTTATTTTATCATTCTTTACAACTCAATTACTCATTCATCACTCATCATACATAGGTCATGTGACACCATAGATTGATCAGAATCAGCAGATCTTTAAAATGGGCCTTAGCAATAAGAATTGGAGCACTTCTTCAAACATTTGTAATCTTAAAAAAGGATTTCAGCTCACTTTGCATCAATTACAAAGCTTGTTCATCTTAAGAATAGATTCACAGTGTTCATAGTGGCTTATACAAAGTTTAATTTCATTATTAATAAGATTAGAAATGGACTAACAAGATTATTAAGATTTGTAAAGTGGTTTTTGAGGCTGTCAACAACGCAGCAACAGTTACTGTACTAGTATAGTACCTGCTCTTAAAATACTGAAAAAAGTGGTACTCAGTACCGTACCTGAAATTAGATACGGTACGGAGTACAGTACCTAGCGCCAAGGTACTGCAAAAATCTCGCTCTAGTACAGTATTTCTTGCAAGGCCAAGGTACTGTACTATACTGGTATCCTAGACAAGCGCGTAGGTACGGTACTGTACCGTACCTGCAGTAGGTACCGCGCCGTATTCTAACTTACCTGTGTAAGTACCTGCCTCAGAGACAAATCCAAAAAAGTTTATTTCGCAGATAAGAACAATCATGTATTATTAAAGATGAACAGAAAAAATTCAACCAGAGCCACAAGAAAAGGAGAAAAAAAAAGGAGACATCGTTTATGATTGACGAGAAAAACCACCATAAATCATGTGAGACAAAACCAAACGTGATAGCCATCATAATTTAGGATCTCCTCACTCGAGATGCTGCATCGTTAGCCATGCATTGATTCATGATGTTTCCAGCTTTGACAAATTTACCCTTCATCTGCACTCCCTCGACTGACCACATGCGACCAGAAACCAACCTTTCAATTGGCCTGGGCTTGAGGGAACTTCGATCTCGGGTGCAGATGTCCGCGGCACATGAGAAACATCTCTCAACCGCGCAGGACGTGCCACTGATAGCCAGAAAATCGCGTGCCAGGCAGCTCAAGATTGGGTACTTGCCTTCGTTTACCTACAGGTTCAGAGAGTCCGCCTTTAGTCCATGTGCACCAAGAGTAAATAAGAAAACAGAGAAAGGTCCTGCTACTGACCTTCCACCATTCCAATGCCAGGTGAGGATTCTCACCAACCTCTGGTGCAGGGTCCTCTGCCATCTCCAAGTAAGATCGGAGTTCGTTTGCTGTGTTCCTTCGATTCTTAGCTTTGTGTTTCCTAAACTCGTCATCTTCTTCAGCTGCTCCCAAACTTTGACCATTGACCGCGCGGTTGACGTTTGAAGCATTAGGTTCGTAAGGTCCATCAATTTCCATCTCAATCTTCTTTTCCGCATAAGCTAATTCAATCATTTCCTTCGCAAGTGAACTTTCAGCCGATCCTTCTCCAAAAGCAAAGTCGAAGTAATCCAGTCGCAAGCTGGGATGTAAGATAGTCGCAAGGATAAGTGGGTGTGATGCAAGTGCTTCCTTCAGATAGGCAGTAACTCGGACCATCATAGCATGATACATGGGAAAAAGTGGCTCGGCGCGTGATGATGTCGCATCAATCTTCTTTTGCAGACTTTTCTTCAACTTGACGTACTCACGAATCACCAAAGATCCGGTGGGTCCACTTTGCTCGAAAAACTTTGTGAGATTCTCAAATTCCTACATGAGTAATAGTATATGATTGTTAGGGAGGGACACCAATGATATGATGACTGAATGGTTAAAGATATAAATAAACATACCTGGAGAATATTGATTAGATCCCGCACTTGTCGCCACTCGTCAGGCGAAATCATTACTTTATTGAATATGCCTCGAGGTTGGTAGACATCTGGAGGCAGAGGGGTTTCACCAACTCGGCTTGTTCCTGCCCTGCGAGGCAATTCCATTTGGTCTTCCTTCAAAATCTGATCGATCACCTTCAAAGAACAAGTGAGTTGTCAATGTTTCATCATTGGGTATAAAGATAATTCAGTATAAATATGATACTTACCTCTCGGGCATTATATAATCGCTTCCAACATTGGAGCTTAATGTTCCACCTAATTCCATAACCAGGTATAGGTCGTGGTAGCTTTTCGGACAGTAATGCTTGGCTGACAGCATCAAAAAGGCAACACATGACTGCGGAGCCACCTATCTTTCTACCTATAACATCAAGCTAATAGAATAATTTCTATTAGCTCTCAATTAAATTATATTTTGATAAATTAAGCATTTGTAAAGACTTACCTTCATCATTAATGCATCCACAGCATTTGCAGCATTTCGATTGCTTGCAGACGGAGTTTCGATCGGAGGAGGAGATTCGTGTGGACCATCCATGACACTGTACCAGTCAGTACTGTCAGCTGCAGGCGGGAGATCTGAATCATCAGTCTCGATGACATCTTCCTCCTCGGGCAAATCTTGATCTTCCAAGGCGTCCCCAGTCTCATCTTCTTCAGGCACAGATTGTAATGTTGTAGTCGGAATTGGGAAATCACCAAGCATGGTTGATTTAACCAGGGGTGGAGGAGGCGCTTGTATGCCAAGCGCTTGAAGGCCACTATTGACCACAAGCGCAAGTTTATGACAAACACATCGAACTCGATCGGTTTGATGATTCCATTTGAACACTTCATTGTTTTCCTCACAGTGTTTCTTGATCCGGACATTCATGGCCTCAGCGAGCGTGTTGTTATTGCTTCCTGAGTCATGCGTCTGTGCTAGCATGTGGATAAAATAAAACAAATAATCAGCTGAAAGAATAAGTGAAAAACGAGTAAAAATTAATCAAGATGAAATACTTATTTTGTTATGAAGCCCATGCTTGATCAGAAGATTGATCAAAGGCTCAGCCAGCCAATCACCTTTGTGATGCCAGGCGATGAGCTTCAAGGCAAAGTGCCTAGTGACATAGGTCCAGTCCTTAGTGACGAAGGTCACGCTAGCACCCAAGAATCCATAACGATTTCCAGCAGTTGTCCATGCGTCGTGAATGAGTCCGAATGAGCTTTTGAGGGACTGATAAGAAGAAATCAATCAATTTATTAAGGCATTAATATCAACGCTGCAGCCGGTACTGTACCAGTATCGGTATCGTACAGTACAGTACCTGGAAGTACAGTACCTTGGAGGCCACTACTGTACTGAGGGGGCCAGGATTTTTTTTTTTGGTGTAGGTACTGTACTCAGTATAGTACCGGCCAACAAGGTACCAGTACAGTACCGGCCCTGTCAGTATCGTGATACTAGGTACAGTATTGGGTACCTTGTCAGATACTTTAGGTACTGTACTGGTAAAGTACCGGTAAAGTACCTGTAAAGTATGTGGCAAGTACCTGCCCTTCGTCCTTGCTCGGAATCTTACCAATCCGTACATTTTTCCCATCCACCACCCTCAAACGACCTCCAACAACGAAGGCCACCAAAGATCACTCAATGATCTTGCCTCATCGGTAAGTCCAATGGTTTAATCTATCCCTTTTGATCTAGAGCCCCCCTCCTCACCTTGTCTGACTGACCAATGTGTGTTCATTTATCTTTAGGCGCGATCTAGCCAAGTGGCGATGGCAACATCCCACCTTTCCATTTGGTTCCATCGGCATCAGCAGGGGGTCTTTTTTCTCAAAAAGGTACGCCCATTTGCTTTCTTGTTTTTCCACTTCCCCCATTTTCACATCTTTAAATATCATATCAGTCGATTCCAACGCTGACTACTACATACTTTACTAGTTATATTCCTTTCTTCCGTATCATCATGTCGTCCTCTTCTGCTTCTGCCGTTGAATCCTCCAGTCGACGTCGTAGTTCCCGACCCTCCCCAGCTAGGATACGATCCCAAATGATCGAAGTGCCTTCTGACTCTCGTCGTACTGCCCAACGCCACTATGACCCCTCTGATTCGGAATCATCAGTCTATCAACCTCCTAGTAGTAGTAAACGCAAGCGTGACGATCCTCCAACGGAAGATGAACACTCAGATCACTCACAATCTCTACAGCCTCGCCACAAGGCCAAGAACCCAACAAAATCATCGTCCCAGACTCGTTCAAAGCGTTGTCGACAAGTTCAATCTGATCTCTCTCAACAAGCGCAAGGAAGTGACAACATTGCAAGTAGTCAGGCTGTTCCTCTCCAGGTCGACTTGATCCAAGATTCTGACGGTGAGAATGCGAAGGTTGCAAAGAAACCTAAGAAAGAGCATACCTTTGATAACATCCGTGATTATTTTAATGAGATGACCACGGTTATCAACGTAAGTTCTATTTTATTTTTCTTTACATTTCCTTTTCTTTGAAAGTTTAATTCATCTTTCTAATTTATTTAAATCCCTCTTTTCAATTCTCCATTTCAATTTGTTTTAGTCGAAAGGGAAGCCGGTCACCGCATTTCCGTGCAAGTATTGTGGCTTGAAAGTTGCCAGTGCACCATCTTCGGCAACCAATCTGTTAAACCATCAAGATGGTTCTCGGCAGGATGGTAAGTCGGGTAAACCAGGATGTCAGAAGAGAGCTACAGCAATATCCTCTGGCTGCAAACTGCCACTCACCGTCTTCGAAAAGCAAGCACAAGAGGACAACTCGAACGAAGGTCAAACATCGATGACAACATTTGCTCAGGTGGTACCCAAATTCGATCATCAAATTCTTAATCAATTGTTGGGTATGTGGGTGATTAGGACAGCTCAGCCATGCCTTCGAATGGAAGATCCTTATTTACGGGCCGTGTTTCGATACGCCAATCCAAACGCCCATCTTTTTGGGCGAACATGGGTAGCCAAGTTCGCACACGAGGCGTATTTGGACATGCAGTCATCTGTAATTGAAGAACTCAAGGTGAGTGCCTGTTTCTCTTATCTATTTTTCACTCTTGTCATCATTGTTTCCTCACCTCTTTTGCTGATCATCAACAACCTGTATCAGTCTCTTAAAAGCTCTTTTGGCCTCATCCATGACGCATGGACCACCCCTGGGAACCGATATGGCTTCTTAGGTGCAAGTGTCACCTTTGTCACCAAGGATTGGACCTACGTAACGAGGCACTTTGCCTTGAAGCTCATCGCATGGCATCACAAGGGCGATTGGCTGGCTGAGCCATTGAACAATCTCCTCATCAAGCATGGGCTACATACAAAGATATGTTTTTCGCTTTTTGACTTTGTCTCATCTTTTTTCACATCTTTTTATGTCCTTCTGATTCTTCTAATCTAACTACTTGACATTATGGTATCTTTTCTTTTATGTACATGCTAGCCCAGACTCACGACTCAGGAAGCAATAACAACACATTAGCTGAGGCCATGAACATACGACTCCAGAAACATTGCGAAGAGAACAAGGAAGTTTTCAAATGGAATCACCAAACACACCGAGTACGATGTGTGTGTCATAAGTTGGCCCTGATTGTTAGCGGTGGCCTTCAAGCCCTCGGTATCCAGGCCCCTCCACCACCTCTTGTGAAATCGACCATGCTCGGCGATTTTCCAATTCCAACCACGACTCTACAAACAGTTTCCGAAGAAGACAAGACGGCTGAAGGTTCTTTAGAAGCAGAGTGTGAGGAAGACGGGGGTCGCGAGATTGACGACTCTGATCTTCAGCCTGCTGTAGAGAGCGCTGATTGGTATGGCGTGATTGATGGTCCTCATGAAGAACTCCCTGCTCCACTTGACTCTTTGCCAAGCAATCGCAATGAGGCAAATGCAGTTGCAGCGCTCATGACAAAAGTAAGATTCTTTCCTCGATGTTTTTGATTTCACTTTATATATTTAGCTTTATATATGGCTGACTTTAACCACGTTTCATATTACTCAAGCTGGACGTTGTAGGACGTAAGATTGGTGGCTTGGCGGTCATGTGCGCCCTCTTCGATGCTGTCAGCCAAACGATGCTCTCGGAAAAACTCCCCAGGCCAATTCCAGGATACGGCATACGTTGGAACATAAAGGTCCAATGCTGGAAAAGATTGTACAACGCACGAGAGGTAAGTTCCTGACCTAGCCTCCATATCTATTTCAGAAAATTGATTACTTACCTCTTATTTTGTAAATACAGGTGATCGATCAAATCTTGAAGGAAGATCAAATGGAGTTACCACGCAGGGCTGGCCCAAGCCGACTCGGTGAAACTCCATTGGCTCCCGACCTCCACCGACCTCGAGGGATATTCAATAAGATCATGATATCACCAGATGAATGGCGACAGGTCCGCGAGCTGATCAAGATCCTGCAGGTAAGCCTTGACTTTGTTTCTTTGTGCACTGGTGGTCTCAACGGTTTTAGATAACCTTCATTTCTGGCTACTTGTAGGAGTTTGAGAACTTGACCAAGTTCTTCGAGCAAAGCGGTCCAACTGGCTCATTGGTGATACGCGAATATGTGAAGCTCAGGAAAACACTTCAAAAGAAAATCGATGCGACTCAATCACGCGCCGAGCCTCTCTTTCCAATGTACCATGCGATGCTTGTGCGAGTAAAGGCCTATCTTAAGGAGGCGCTTGACTCGCACGCTCTGATCATGGCGACTATTTTACATCCCAGTTTAAGACTTGATTATTTCGAATTCGCCTTCGGAGGAGGCTCAGCAGAAGCTCTGCTTGCTAAGGACCTCATCGAATCAGGCTATGCTGACAAAAAACTCGAAATGGAAATTGATGGGCCTTATGAACCCATAACATCCAACTCTAACCGTGCTACAAATGGTCAAAGCTTAGGAGCCGCTGAAGAAGACGAAGAATTTCGCAAACACAAAGCAAAGAACCAACGCAACACAGCTAATGAACTCAGATCGTACCTGGAGATGGCAGAGGATCCCTCGCCAGAGGTTGGTGAGAACCCTCATCTCGCTTTGGAATGGTGGAAAGTAATTTGATTTCACTTTTGGTCACAATGAATCTCACATTCAGGACGCATAATACTGATGTTGATAACATTGTTTAGTTGAACGAGGGGAAATACCCAATATTGAGCTGCCTCGCTCGTGACTACCTGGCCATCAGCGGGACATCGTGCGCGTGTGAGAGGGGCTTCTCTTGCGCAGCTGATATCTGCACCCGAGACCGGAGCTCTCTCAAGCCACGACCAATCGAAAGGCTTGTATGTGGGCGTATGTGGGCAGTGGAGGGTGTTCAAATGAAGGGCAAGTTTGTAAAAGCGGGTGAAATCTTGAATCAATGCATTGCTAATGATGCAGCTTCTCGCACAAGAAAGTCATAAGTTTTCATTTTCTGATAAGCTTTTGTTCTCTGTCAATTTCATTTCTATATCTAGCTTTTCATTTAACAATATTTAGCTTAACTCTTTATGTTTCTTTAATATGATTTGTTTTGCTTTTTATTTTATTCAATTCAAACATGTGTTTCTCTGTAATGTGCCAGGTACTTACACAGGTACTGTACGATACAGTATCGTACCTGCACTAGGTACGATACGGTATAGTACCTCAGTATCGCCCCTTGATACCAGTACAGTACAGTATCGAGGTGTGGCAGAAAATACTGTACTGCCTGGTGTTTTTTACAGTACCTAATTTCTAGGTACTGTACTCCGTACAGTATTTTCTCGCAGGTACTGTACTGAGTACCTACCTTTTCAGTATTTTAAAAATAGGTACTGTACTAGTATCTTCGATACTGTACTGGTACAGTACCTGCTGCTGCGTTGTTAATATATCAGGAAATTACATGAAAGGATCGATGGAAGAATCAAAATGAAGATGCTGACCTTTAATTCATCAATCACAGAAGATCGCATGTCAAGATAAGCTTCATGCGCGAATTTAGAAACCCAGGATCTTCCAAATAGGTGAGCATTCGGATTGGCATAACAAAAATCCGCCCGTAGGTATGGATCTTCCATGCGCCTCCATGGTTGAGCTGTTCTAATAACCCACATGCCTAGAAGCTGATTGAGTACTTGATTTTCGAACTTGGGTACTGTCTGAGCAAATGCCAGCATGGAAGTTTGCCCTTCGGTTGCGTTGTCGTCTTCGGATCGTTGTTCAAAGACCGTGAGCGAAAGTCTACAACCGTTTTCAATTGCCTTGGATCGCTTCTGACAACCCGGCTTTCCGGACTTGCCGTCTTGCCTGGAACCGTCTCGATGCGCGAGGAGGTTGGTACTCGAAGTTGGAGAGCACGCCACCTTGACACCACACCACTTGCAAGGATAAGCAGTTGCCGTGTTACCTTTAGCCTAAATGTTACCACGTAAAAGGTGTAAGTAATAGTAGCTACGCTATGAAAGAGTCGAAACGTACTGAAAAAAAGAATCCACAAAAGAACACTTACATTAGTGATGGTGACCATGCCATCAAAATATTTGCGGATGTTATCAAACTGAGTTTCTTTCTTTGGCGGCTTGTCGGCGACCTTATTGTTCTCCTCATCGGAGTCTTGTATCAAGTTGATATGCAGGCTTACACCACTACTGACATTAGGTTCTTTTCCTTTCGCTGCCTGTCTAGAACATTTCGATCGATCCTTGGGAGGGTTCTTGCGCCTCGTTGGCTGACATATGGACTGATCAGATGAAGCATCATCCGCAGTAGTATTGTGGCGCTTGCGCTTGGAAACAGAGGAAGTAGCTTCGGTGGGAGAATCGTGGTGCTTGCGCTTGGTGCTAGGTTCTGGCTGGAAGACCGAACCATCAGTTCCAGAGTCATCGTCGTCGTGTCGTCGAACAGAACGGCAAGAATCGGCCGGAGAATTAACTAAGTAAGATCGTTTTCTTAATGGTGAGGGCCGGGAACTACGACGGACAGTGGAATGTGGAGTAGATGAAGATGACATTTTGTTGGATTGATGTGAAACTACGGTAAGAGAACACAACCTATGTATGAGATCAAGAAATCAGGAAGCGAGGTAAAGAAATAATTTGATCAATGAAAGTGATGAATCAAAGTACATAGACGAGAGAAATGACCTACCGTTTTAACACAATAGATCGGGTCAGATAGCCTAATGTCGTTGACCAGGCGACATGTTTCCATCGCCCCATGTCGACTCACCCCTAGCTTGCTTAGTGATGCAAAAGCCGAACGAGGAAAGCCAGGTGAGCGTGAGCAAAGCGCTAATTAGACCGAACAGGCTAGATTGATTACGAAAGAGATCAGATGTATAGGTTTCGTCGGTAGTGGGTGGTGATCATGCAAGGGATTCACTGAATAGGGAAGGTGTACTGGGTAAGACTCAGAGTCGGACAGGAAGGGAAGGGTAGAGGGTTAATACAGGTACTTACCGGTACTTTACCGGGTATCGTACCTGATTTCCAGGTACCGGTCATTCCAGTATTGGTATCGTACCTGGTGTACGGTACTATACC